TAGGGTTCCAAGAAGAAGAAGAAGAAGAAGAGAACATCAAGTTTGTTTTGTCTCGTTCCGTTATGTCTTGTGGTGGGCCCTAGGGAGATCCCATAGCTTCCCACGCCCCCCACTACCACTACCACCACCACCACTCGTCGCCCCCGCGCACCCTTACAACCCTAAACCCACCTACCTACCGAAAAAAGCAACAACGATGTTGCGTAAGGCGACACCGACAATTCACGCTTTGCTGCTGCTTGTATGTATGTATGCATGTATGTATGTATGTATGTATGTATGTATGTGGTTTGATTTCCGCCGCGAAGAAGGAAAGAAGGAGACGCGCCTGGGGCCAACCCGCCGACCCGCAGCAGCACCCCAACCCCCCCACCTGCGCGCCCCAACACGTACCAGTAAGCTCTCAGGCTGGTGCTCGCAAGCCACCAGCAGCAAAGAAGATCCGTGCGCCGCCAACAAACAGCTCGCGTCGGGGGCAGCCGCCGCAGCAGCCGCCGTAAGTGCCGCCGCAGCAGCCGCCTTGGCGCCGCCGCGCGACCCACGACCGCTATTCTCTTCTTCTTCTTCTTCCTTTCTCTCCAGCTGTTGTTTCTGCTGCGTCAATGAGAGCTGCTGTGCGCGTACGGCAGCCGTCGCCGCCGTTGACGCGGCGGCGCCGCGGCGCATGATATCCGCAGCCAGCTCCCCGACGGAGAGCAGGGCGCCGCAGGTGGGGTCGCTGATGGTGAAGGCCGAGTAGAACCTGGGTACCGAGAGCAGGCGGGAGGCGTCTTGAAGAGCCACTGCAGCGTTGACAGCGGCGCGCCACAGTTGTGCAGCTGCGATGGCGGCGGAGGCGGAGGCCGCGGCTGCTGCGTCAGGGCTGCTGCCACTGCCGCCGCCATTAACGTTGACAACGGCGTCCTGCGGTTTTATAATCGAAACAGCGTTGATACCTCCTTACATTCTTACCATCATCATCATCCAACATCATCATCATCACCATCATAATTGATACTGCACACGCATCGTGATATGCAGCACTAGCAGTACCCGCGAGCACCCGGAAGGCAACCAGGGGGGAGAACGGCACCCACAGAAGGAAGAACCGCACCCACGTGACCGCACGTGTGACTAACCCTCCCCACACACACAACTAATTCCGTATATCCCGCTGCGGACAGCGTCACACCTGCGGACATACATACTGTGCACACATATCCGTAAATATCGTGCACCATACCGTTGCAGGGAAGTGTTGGTCGTTGTGACTTGCAAACCCTGTGATGGCTAGGAGGTCGGCTCCGGAACCCGGACCCGGGCTGAGGCCCGCCTGCTTCATGAGGTCGCAGTGGTGCAGGACAGCCCGCATGGTCAGGTGGCAAGCGTCCACGAGGAACAGCACCGCTCGTCCTGCCTGAGGGGCCCATCACAATTGTTGCGGGTTTTACGGTTGGTTCCTTTTAAGCCATCAAGAGTCTCGCGGTTAAGCGGCTTAGCGGTTGAGCGGCTGAGAGCACTTTTATGTGTATGTACATGTTTATGTGGAAGAAAGGAGTTGTTTGGGGGAGGAGAGTTTGAGGGGGAAGTTGTTGAGCGCGGGACCAGGGCTCCCAGGATCCCAGGTCACAGTTGCAGGCAACGCATGTATTGCCTGGGACGCTAGCAGGCAAGCAAGACGAGGCGGCGGACAGGGACGATCATGCACGCCAGGGCTCCCCCCAGCGCAGGCTCGGGGACAGGTTGGAACGACAAAGCGGCGACAGAGCGTATGTCAACGCTCGCAAAGGGGAGATAGGTTGCTTTGGGTCGACCGGCAGACGCGTGGCCCACACGCTGATTGGAAATACAATGCAACAATTTGACGTACCTGTGCTTGGGGTAGGCGAGCAGTCGTAGGCTTTGCAAGCCCGCCGCCTTCTCCCATAGGGTCCTCCAAGTACTCCAAATCGTCTCGGACCATCTCAAGAAGCTGGGTGGAGGCCTGACGCACTTTGGCACATGCTTCGGACAGCTTGCGGCGTCTGCGCAAGCGCGGGATATCATATTCAACGCTATCATTTCCCCGCAAGTTGCTCGTTTTTCAAAGCCAGGAAACAAAGTGACTTCAATCTCACCCATTATCGCTGCCTTGGAGAACGGCGATAGCATCCTGTCTCGCCTCACTAAATAGGCGTAGCAGCTCAGCTGTAGGGTCGATAACCGTGGGGGACGCGCCCACTTGCGCCCTGCTCCGTGTTAGCCGCTCTGCCATTAGGAAGGCATTCAAACTGCTAACGGGCTGCTCATCAGTATCGACTCGCAAGTCACGACCTGAACATAAGGTAGACCATGTTTTCGCAGCTCCGTGGTTTCTGAAGATGTCCTAACGAAGTAGCTTATATTATTCTATACATATGCTGCTTGACTTGTGGTATACTTGCCACCATGTTCAAGTTGCATAAGTTGCTCGGCCACAAGCCCGACGTCTCCCAGGCCCCAGAATTCCATGACACTTAACTCAAATACCTCTAAGCGTAGATATTAACACATTTAAGACGAGCAGTCGTCCGCTGTCTAAAGCTACGCAGCGCGCCCAACCTATCTGTCGACCGATTAACGGCAAGTCAAAGCTAACTGAACGTAACAAGGCAACACGTACGATCTCCCAAAGCCGCAATTGCGGCCGGCGGGGCATGCCCAGTACTTTGCACCTGCACGCAAACTTGTAGCCACTTGTGACGTGATTGCCGCACACCACAGCACTTGCACGCGCTCTGCGCATTTTCCTTCTCCCTAACGCAAACAGTCTGCCGAATCGCTGCTCGAGCCACTAGCGTCCACAGTTGCCCGCGCCGTCCTTCCAAACCCATCCACTGAGGCAGCTCCTATGAGAAATCCTCACCCAGCCCTACAAGCAATCGTCGAGCTGCGTCTTAAAGCCCCTGCGAATCCCAAACCAGCAGGCCAGTGTCCTCCGCCTTCGCTTCTTTTGTAGGCGTGTGTGAGCGTGTGTACGCGTGTGAGCGCGTGGTTGCGTCCTTTGCTGGTTCCGGCAACACGCTCCTCCCCCAACCCGTTTTTTGTTGCCAGCCAGCTATGTCACGGAATTAGCAAATACGCGCCCAAACCGTACACGTTATCCAACGGATATCACGGCAGCTTTTCCTGGGGTGGGCGCTGGCCGCAAACTGCAGCTGGGAACGTGGTTCGTTAAAGGGCATCCGATGGCTTCTAGTAACTACCTCTGCGCTGCATAGTGCCGCAAAGACACAATTACGTCTAAGAAAGTTACAGCCCCGGCTCCGTGCCGTACAGCCGTACGGCCGCACGAATGCCACCTTGTACGGAACTGACCGCTTAAAGCCCACCACCCACGGTTTTTTTTAGCAAAAAAACGCGCCGTTGGCCAGCGGTATCCCTCCTTTCCTCCCCCTTTCTGAAGTTTGCTCAGCAGCTCCTAGTCTGCCAGTGCATCATCTCGTCCAAGTCCGATTTCCTCTCGTCCATCGCACTTTTCCTCCCCCTCCACTTCTCCACTGAAGCATCTGTTGTTGTTGTTGTTGTTGTTGTTGTTGTTGTTGTTGTTGTTGTTGCTGTTACATGGTCGTGGGTGCGTTCGCCGTACCTGCAAACCACCCTAATACGAGCCGAGGGCTCAAGGGCTGCCAGATCGCCTATAAGCACCATCCTACCTCGCACTTCCAACGAAACAAGTGATGAAGGATACTAACGACCAAAGGGAACGATAGAGTTGCGGTGGGACCATATATCCTTGCCAGGCGTTCAGGTTCCCACTTCATAGCGTCCTTCATATGTTCGAAGCGTGGGAAACCCATATCAGATCTGATTTTGTCGTACGCTGGACAGTCCAGCAAAATGTGCTTCTCATCCTCGATATGGCTATCAGTGCCGCAGCAAGGGCATACTCGCTCCTCCCTAGGTATATAACGCCGTCCCTTACGCGCTCTGTTAGCCGCCAATGCCCAACAGCAAAGCCTAAACTGCATAAGCTTGCGATTCGCTGAACGCGGGATAAACATTGTGATATGCGGGAGCACCTCCTTCCTGCCCGCTTGCTCGGCCGCCAGACCCATCCAATGCTTATACTTCGCCATGTGAATTCCTGGTTGCTTGCCGTCTGATGGGTACACGTCAGGCTGGACGTCTAAACGCGTATGCTTCCAACCACTCACTAATCGGTCCTTGAACTCCAAAACCACACCTTCTGGCATTGGCCTGTTCATCAGCCACTCCACTCGTTCGTCTACCTCGTGTAGCCCTTGCGGGGCCTCTTTCCATACGTCGTGCCCCAGAAAATACAGAAAACGGAGGAGAAGTGTCCCCCATCCGGCCCCTTCGGGGTTGGAGAGGGATTCTGTGACCTCCTGTCGCAAAACTTGGTGTGCCACAGACCCACGCTGTAAACGGACACTGTTCCAAAACCTCACAACCTGCTTGAAGCATCTGCCTTTGTAACGGAGTAATACACCGGCGCTGCCTGATGATGGCCATAGGATAGGGTTGCGCTGCATCTTTTAGGATGCAGCAAGTGTGTTTTGAAGAGAGGGAGAGGGGAGGACTGAAGACACCGGGGGAGCCACGCAGGATTTCATCGCTTTTATTAGTATTTATTATTTTGGAAAAATATTCAACCGATAGGGACACTTCCAAGTGCTTGTCCCTTTTCACCAATTGGAGCAGAAGCCATGAACACCCGAGCCGGACTCAGGAATACAACATAATGTCAGGAGAAAAGAAATTTCAAATCACCGCAACTCGGCCCCGGCCCCCAGTGTGTTCAGTTTGAATTCCAAGATTGACGTTCCTGGTACCTGAAACCTTGTCAGTGCTCAGAAATTTGGGCAGTGTGCTCCACCGCCACGTTAGTCCCCAGATCCCCCATCAGTAGCATCAGTAGCAGAAATGCACCGCCCAAAAAGGAGAGAAAAAAGAACTGCATTCTTCAGACGTAGCCGTCTTCCCCTCGACGTCAAAGTGAAAGAAACACCAGGCTATTCCTACTGCTGTTGCGAGTGCTGTTGCAGCTGATGCTGCCAGTCTTCTTTCTCCCCACAACCCGAATTGCACACCACCAGTCACGACATTCACGTCACACCGCACATACATACATCCAGGCATACATACATCCAGACATTCATACTTGCCGCAAACCGCCATCTCTGAAATGACAGCAGAGAGAGAGAGAGTTCGGATGACCGCACACACCGTTACCGTCTCGCCATACCCAATGTTATGTTGTGCACTCCTCTCCTCCCCCCCCGATCTTCCACCCCATCTCTTGTCTACAACACATTAAGGAGGAAACACGTCCCCAAGCCGTGAGAAAAGAGGAAGACATGCCGAAGCTCATGCACCGGGCGACCCTGCAGCCTCTTTTCCCAGGCTCACTCAAGCTCGCGAGGGGCGCATCGAGACGGCGAGGAAAGGTGTGTACACTGCTAAAATAAAAAGGCCGCGCCCATTGGATTGTTTTGGGAGGGGGAACTCTTAGAGAGTCTCATCCAAACGCTGGGCTCGCGCATAATTACAGAAGCACAGAAATTTGGGGAAGAAAAAGAAATCCAGCGGAATGTAAGGCAGCGGAACAACCGTCAACAACTTCCGCATACAATACAAGCGACAGAGACACACACATACATACATACATACATAGAACAAGAACGTACATACATACATACATACGTACAAGAACGCCATCAAGCAACCGTCTTCTTGGCAGATGCAAGGGTCTCACTCATTGGAGTGATGCCGCGGCAGCAACAGCAGCAAGGGCAACACTAGCAGCAGCAGCAGCAGCAGCAGCAGCAGCAGATGTACCCTCCCCCCCACCCTCCCCACCCCACCCCAACGAAGCCACTTCTAGGGATCGCCTCTTCCTCCTCCCACCTCCCAAGCCTCCGCAAACCTCCACACACATGGCCGCAAAGAAAAACAGCGCTGCCCCGCAAGTCATGGATTCAAATCAGTGAACAGCAGACTTCCACGTCCCCGTCCCCCATTTAATTTTGCACATGATATTTCCCCTTCTAGTGTTTCCCCCGACTTCACCTATTCTCCCCACCGCAGTCAGTAACGTGTGCCGCAACAAGGCCACATAACAGACCCACCCGCAGCGGACTGAGGAGTTACGAGGGCAGACAGGCTCTTGGGCGACACACGGGTGTTTGGCCACGACTGCACACACACACACACACACGTGCGCGCGCGAAACGGGCAAACCGTTCGCGGCACCATACGCGAACCCGGATCCCGTGTGTGTGTGTGTGTGTGTGTGTGTGTGTGTGTGTGTGTGTGTGTGTGTGTGTGTGTGTGTGTGTGTGTGTGTGCGTGCACGTCCTCCCTTTACGCGGCCCACAACGCACAAAGGACGCCATCATTCCATCACTCCGTCAGTTGCATCACACCGCACTACCGCACCACAAAGTACTTTGGAAAATACCCCCCCACATACAACGCATGCATACATGAGAGCGCACGCAAATGCCTCCAATGCTTTCCTAAACAGTCCGTGATTCGGCCCCTCCCGCACATCCACGTCTACTCGCCTACGTCACGGCTCCCTGCCGTGCCACAACGTACTGCAGCACCTTGGCACTCAGGCGCCCCTTCCCTCCCTCCTTCCCCCCTCCCTTAGTGGGGAGTTCATTTCTGAGGGTTTTAGGGTTTTAACAGGCCCCCCGGCAGTTCAATTCTGGGATTTCCTCTCCCATGTGATCCCCTCCCTGCCCCGTGCCAACCGTGCGGCCTTGCAATGCCCCTCTTTGTGCTTCAGATCCCCATTCGCACGGATTACATTAGACGTGTTCCCAAAAACAAAGTCACGGTCCGCAGCACGCGCAGCTCCACGTGGGTCGGTGTGGATCAGCGATATCCGGATGACCCGCATACATACATATAAACAAACATACCTACACACATACCTACACACATCCACGTAACAGACACCAAGGTGATCTCCAGCTGGGGCGAGCGGTAGTTAAGGGATTGTCGGTTGTGGTGGTGCGGGGCCCTGTCGAGTACTGGTGCTACTGGCAGCGCGCCGCTTCTCGCCGGAAATCATCAAAAGTTTCCCGGATCTGCAGTACAAAAAGTACGGATTGAGCAGTGCCGTTAGCGTTTTCTCTAAGCACGTTTGGCCTCGGCAAATGTGTCCGCAAATTCTTAGGACAGCAACTGCACGACAGACAAGCAGTCAGGCAAGGTGCGCACTTTGACCCCCAACACATCACACCACAAGCAGGTGCTCAATATTCATTCATGTCTATTGTCGTTAAATCAGGTAATCTATACGACTCATTTCTTAACTTAGTCGAAGACAAACCAAATCTAGAGCCGTTAATCCATAATGCAATTAAAATTACAAATACACGTGCACCCCGAGGCGCTGTCGGAAACTTCCACCATCCCTAGGCAAACGCAACCCAATGCTCAGGCGCTGACTCCCCATCAGCGGTATTGCCATTCAACCAGCGTTTACGCGGCCGCAACGCGTAGACACACAGACATACGCTTATACATACAGACGCAGACATACAGGCGCACACAGACACACGCACAGCCGCGCACGTCATAAATAATATATCGCACATTCTAAGGGCATAAACTTGCTTTCGTGTGCGCTCATCGGCATTTTCATTCTTGCGGCTTAATCCGCTATTAACACACACACACACGTACACACACACACGCGCATAACACGCGCGGACGTACCTCTTCTTCGTCCCCTGACTTGACGGCTGAGCACAGCACTACGTAAGCCATCTGGATGTACTTGTCCTTCCCAGCAGCCTGAGGGTAGGGAAGGGTGCAGTGTACTGTATTAGGGTGGCGGTGGGGGAGCGGCGGTGACACCACCATAATCGAATCATGCGTCAAAATCATCATCATCAGCAGCAGCAGCAGCACCACCACCACCATCAGCATCAGCAGCAGCAGCACCAACATCATCATCAGCAGCAGCAGCTACAAAAAAGATGGTCCTGGCTGTGGCTTGGGGGAAGAGGAGTGTCACACATTTCGGCCTCTATCGACTTCTTACCTGCAGCTGCCGGAGGGCCTTCCGCACCCCTCGCCCCTCCTCTGCGCTCAGCGGCACCTGCTCCATAAGCTCCACCAACGCCCGGGCGATCTCAACAACGTCCGTCAGCTGCGGGGGCATTGGCCGGAACCGGCTTCCGCCGCCACGACCGCCGCTGGCAGTCGCGGCGGCACTGCCACCGCCGCCGCCGCCGCCAGCGGCAGCCGAATCGTCGACTGCACCGCCGGAGACGCTGCCGCGGCCACCGCTGCTAGCGGCGGCAGCAGCCGGCATTGGAAACGAGGGAGGGCTGACGGAGTGTTGCTGCGCAAGCTGTGGGTCGGTGGGTTGCTGTGGCTGTAGCTGAGGCTGATGTGGGGGCTGCTGCTGCTGCTGCTGCTGCTGCAGATGTTGCGTATGTGGCGTGGGACACGGCGCCATCACTCCCGCTGCTCCTGCGGGCTGTGTCTGCGGCTGTTGCTGTTGCGTTGGCGGTGGGTACGAATGCCCGGTGCTGTCCATTCGCTGGCGCTTGGGCTGCGAAAACGAAAACACGTACATACACAAGAGCGCACACACGCGGCGATGGTGGGAACGATCTGGAAGAACTAGCAGCAGAGGCTGGTTGGTGACGTCCAAAAACCCGGTTAATGGGAAGAAAAAACATATTTCATTGTTCCATCCCGTTCCCGTTCCCGTTCCCGTTCCGCCTCGCCTCCCCTCCCTCCTCTGGGGGCGGCGTACTCCACGAAGAGTTTTTTCATGGCCAATGCATCTGACTGCTGGTAAACCTCTGCTAACAGGTTACAATAGTCCTTGGCCGTTACATTTCCTCCACTTCTATTTCCCCTTTTTTCCCCCTGTTTGCTTCCCAGGTTTATACGCCCTCCCCCCCTCCCAACACCCTAGGAACTCAGTTCGGCGGTCTGACCTGGCTTTCCATGGGATCGGAAACGTGCCCTGGCCCCCCTTGATGCTGCGGCCTCGGCGCGAGATGGTGATGCATGTACGGCTGCGCCGCCACTGCCGCTGGCTGCTGGTGCGGGTACGAACCTGCGGCGGTTGCGGCGGCGGCGGTGACGGCACCAGGCTGCTGCTGGTGCGGATAGTGCTGCGAAAGGGGTTGCTTAGGGCTGGCGGTTGCAGCGGCGGCGGCGGGAACAGCTCCTGAGCCAGACTGCTGCCTCTGCGCCATCACATTGTACGGAACCTGCGGCGGAGAGAATACGGCAGGCGACGCCATCGACGGCAGCGGCAGGAAGGTTCTTGACACACAGAAGCCGCCCTGGATCAGAAACCGCCCAGGATGGTTTGCCGGGATGTGTGCCGCTCCCCTGCCTGGGCTCTTGTAAGGTGCGTAGACGCCACATCCCGTGCCCCCCGCCCCCCCACTTCCACTCAGCTCTACTTCTTGTTCTACTTCTTGTACACTCTTTCCCTGGCAGCAGCTTCACTCGTTCGTCGTTCGTCTTTCCCCTCCCCTTCCACACCCCCAGCGGGATTCCCTCCTCATCGCCTTCCCAATCGCCTGCCTTGTCACCTTCCCAATCGCCTGCCTTGTCACCTTCCCAATCGCCTGCCTTGTCACCTTCCCAATCGCCTGCCTTGTCACCTTCCCAATCGCCTGCCTTGTCACCTTCCCAATCGCCTGCCTTGTCACCTTCCCAATCGCCTGCCTTGTCACCTTCCCAATCGCCTGCCTTGTCACCTTCCCAATCGCCTGCCTTGTCACCTTCCCAATCGCCTGCCTTGTCACCTTCCCAATCGCCTGCCTTGTCACCTTCCCAATCGCCTGCCTTGTCACCTGTGCACTGCTTTTCACTCACGCACCTGCATCGTCGGGTGTCCGTTGTACCCCCCGGGCCCTACGACTGTTACACCAGCGGTCAGATTGCTTCCCGACGAGCCGTACGCAGCTGCTGCCGCCGCATGCAGCATGACTGCCTGCTGTTGCTGTTGATGCTGCTGCTGTTGCTGCTGCCGTTGCTCTTTGTGGAGCTGTTGCATATGGTACTGGCGCATTAGCATTTGCTGCTGCATTTGCTGGTGTTGGTGATGGGGATGGTGTTGTTGCTGGTGTAACTGTTGTTGTTGTTGTTGTTGTTGTTGCAACTGCTGCTGCAGCAATCGAACATCTATGCCGTTTGTCGTCTGGGCTTGTTGCTGTTGCTGTTGCTGTTGCTGTTGTTGCGCTTGCTGTTGTAAGTGCAATTGTGGGTGCTGTTGCTGTGGATGCTGCTGCGGCAGTGGTGCCGCCGCCGCCGCCGCCGTCGCCCCCGTTTGCGGCTGCTGGGTTTGTTGCTGCGCTTGCTGTTGCTGCTTTTGCACCTGTTGCTGTTGCTGATGCTGATGCTGCCTCTGCTGCACGATCTGACGCTTGTAATCAGTCGCAATGTCCATAGCCCTCTGCTCCAGCACAGGATTCGCCATCAGGGCCTGTAGCAGCACAAGGACGTGGGGCCGCGTGCATCTCTGTGTGGGTGCGAATGTAAAAACAAAATAATGTAAAAAATAATTCAATATGGGGTAATGTAATATAATACAATACTGAAGGTTTCTTGAGAGTAGCGATAGAAAACCGAGAGGTTTTCTGTGAACTCAGGAGGAGAGTTGGCCTTGTGTGTTGGTACGGCATGTAATGCCAGTTAAGGAGGTCGCTCTGGTGTGCTATAGAGTATTTTTTGGGGGTTTCGTAGCTGCATTATGTCGCCGCTGCTGTGAGGCGTTAGGTGCCCAGGCCTAGTGGATGGCCTCGCGGTATCTGGAGCCTCCACCCGGCGTATACGACCTACCGAAGGAAGACTTATTTCAGTTGCTTGCGGGTACCCTTCTTGTAACGTTACTCTTCTTCGTCTCCCCGAAGAGAAACAGAGAATTTCTCTTGAAAGCAAATGATATAAGTGCACAATATGTGTATAATGTGGACACAGACGGGAAGACAGCCCATCCTCGCCCGTTCCTGCCCGTGGTTCAGTCCTCATGAAGAACAGAGGTGGCTCTGGCAATGAGCGTGGCTGCGGCCGTGAAGCAAGACTGTGGATGTGGATGTGGATGTGGATGTGAATGTGGCCGTGTGGCCGTGTGGCATGTGTATGCGTGCGTCGATGGACACGCCTTCCCCCAACCCCTCCCCCCGGCACACGCGCTCCTCATGGCAGCCCCCCCCTGCGTAAGTCCTCCCGCCATTACCTTACAGAGCTCCGCAAGGATCTTGCCGGCGTGTGCGCCCCCCATGTCGTACATGCGCCGCTGTTCCGGCGTCATGATGTTAATCACCGCCAGGCTACGGCATTTCTTGTCCGCTTCCGCATCCAATCTGCACGCGTGCCATCAATTACGCGAGCCAGCATCGCCCCGGCAGCGTGCCAAACAGCATTCATTCAGAGCTATCATGCAAAGCCATCCGCGATTGTGTGCGACTACGGAGGGAGTTAGCACACAGGCGCGCCAAGACGCGTGAGGTTGTACCCATGGAACTAAGGGCTTTGATAAGGAACGCAGGATCGTCGAAGCAGCTGCAGTGCGATGTGTGCATGCGTCATTATTCCGCGTCGGCGTTGCCGTATGTGCGTGATTAACCTCCCTGGCGATGAACCCCCCGCGGCCCTCTCCACCCCATCCTAGACCACCCTGCCCTTCCAAATACGCACTTCGGGTCGCCTAAGGAGGGCTGGAAGCTGCGCTTGAACACCGCCGGAACCTCTCGGGGCGCGCCCGCGTTCCATGCCGCCGCCATTGCTGCCAGCCGCACCACCGGCGCATCCGCTGCCGGTTCCGCTGAGATGGCTTGCCCCGCCACCGCTGCCGTCACCGCCGCTGCTGTCGCTGTCGCTGTCGTCGCCGCCACCGGCGAGCTGGTTATGCCAGCGGCTGCAGTGGTAATGACACACGGACTGCCGCCGCTGCCGGGCCGCGGCGCCACCGCTGCAGGGCCGACCGGACCGGGGGCAGGGGCTCCCTTCGGAGGCGAAGACCCCGTTGTTACTGTCGGCGGCCTCGCCGCCTGGGCCGCGGCCGCCGTCGTTGCCGTCGCCGCTGCCGGCCTGCCGTGCGGATGATGCTGAAAGCTGTGCGGCAGCGTGGAGCCGCCTGCGGCCGCCGCTATGGCTGTGGCCGCGGCATGTGGGTAGGCGTGGAGAGGCCGCTGCTGCAGCGCCGGCGGTACCTGTTTAGGGGACTGCGTGTGTGGCTGCGCGGGGGCCTGCTGCGGTTGTGGGTGCGCGTGCTGCTGCTGGCCTGTGGTGACGAGGGCAGCCTGGCGCTGGGAGAACGGTGCGGCAATGCCAGTAACACCAGCATCGCTAGCGACGGCGGCTCCGCCACCGCCGCGCCCGCCAGCGCCAGGTGACTCCTCATCACTGTCGATCACAATGGCATCCGCTGCACTTCCCCCCACTGTCCCTCCACCCGCTGCCGCCGCCGCCGCCGCAGCCGCGGTGGTGCCGATGGCGCGCTGGTCCGGTGGCCTAGTGGTAGCTGCTGCTGCCGCCGCCGCCGCAGCAGCGGCAGCGGTGCGAGGTTCTCCCGCTACCGTACCACGCAGGAGACCGAGGCTGGATTGCGGGCCCGCCGCCGCTGCTGCTGCAGCGGCAGCTATCGCCGCAGCCATCGCGTCACGCGGGTAGTATTGCTTGAGGACTTGACCCAAGGGAGGTCGGTGCGGTTGCGGTTGCGGTTGCGGTGGCACGGGCGCCGTGGTGGCCATCGGCTGCTGCTGCTGCTGCTGCTGAGGCGGGTGGCGGTGCACGGGATTGATGGCGTGGCGCGGCAGCGACGTGCTAGTGGGGGCCGTCGGTGCGGCGGCGCAGTAGGTCACCGCTGCACGCAAGTGCACCAGGGGGGATGGTAAGCAACCATCAGCGCACATGCACGCGCAGATGAGAGAGAGAGAGAAAAAAAAGCGGTTAAGGTGGAACGGAAATGAGAAGGAGACATAAAGGACACACACACACATACACACAGCAAGAAAGAAGGAGCTGTGTGTTGCGAGTATGAGATTACAGACGTGCTGAGTAGGAGGGCGGGAAAGGCAAGCAAGGTATTCCCACCCACCGCCGCTGCTGCACACACACACACACACACACATTCTTCGCTTCCCAGGCCACGGCCACGGAAACGCGGCGCGGTGTTTCCTCAGCCTCCAGCATCCAACCCACCCTCACTCACCCCGCTACCAACCCCCCCCATTCCCCACTCACCCGGCACAGGGCCCTCTCCATGCGGGTTGGCGAAGTAAGTGTGGATACCGGTGCCCTGTAAATGTGGGTTGAGAACCTCGCCATTCGGACCCACGGGTCGGGACCCTGGAGCTGGCTGGCTTTCCCCAAAGTGCAGGAAGTTGACTGGCAGCTGTACCAGCTCCGTAGGACCCGAAGAGTCCCCCTCGTAGCGCAACTGCGGGGCGCGCGCGCGCGCGTGTGTGTGTGTGTGTGTGTGCATGCGTCTGTGTGTGGTGCACGGGTGGTGTTTTCATGGCCTGAAGGCCATGGCGGGAAGGTGTGTGTGTGTGTGTGTGTGCTTGTGTGTCCAGTAGGCAACACCGCCCACTGGGTGGTCAACAATGAACATGGGACATGGGACAAACCCTACCGCCCAAGTCTACTCCGACCCAAGCCTTCGAGCTATCCAAGAGTTGCTCTCAGACATGGCAGTGGCGCTCTGCGCGCATTTCTCCCCTTCGGATTTTCAAGCGCACGAAAAAATACACACTGGTCCTCCCAACCACCCCCCCATTGCGTCGCACCTCGTGCTCTCCGCTCTCCGAGTTGTACGACATAATGTGGGCGGGCTGCCAGGTGCCGTACAAATTGTTGGGTGGCGGCAGGAAGTCACTAAAGTGGTAAACCCACACGCGTCGGCCAACCAACGCAGCGCCCCCGGCAGCCTCGGCGCGCTGCCGTACTAAGTCCAGGAAGGGCGTCTGTGAAACGAAAAGGGCCCGGGGGAGCGGGATTTACATGATATTGATAAAGGTGATGATGATGATGATAATGGTGATGGTGATGATGATGCAAAGCGCAAAGAAACAAAGAACTGGCGACGTTGCCAAAGCAATAAAGAGGGGCAGAGCAGGGCCGGAGGGGCCGGAGTGAGTAGCGGGGTCAAGGCCACGCAGGAGAACAGCCAAGAGACAAAATCTGTTTTGGAATTCCTGGTGGTGGTCGTGGTCGGGGTGTGAGTGTGAGTGTGGGTGGAAACGAGGGTTACACGCGGCTCCTCCTTTCAACCATATCATCGGCCATCATCATCATATCTCCACTTATCATCACTGCACTGCATCATATTAGACTTCCAAACCCTTCACCTTTGCCCGATCTTGTCCAGCCTTTGTCCAGTTCGCCCCCTCCTTCAGCCGCCCCATTCCCCCCCAGTTCCGTAACCCACCTTCCCTCCACCCCACCCCGAACCCCCAAAACCCCGTGTCACCTCCTCTGCCGAGGCAAGCGCGTCCCCACAACGCAGAGAGCTCCACACTCTCCGCTTCAAAGACTCCATGTCAGCCACCCGCACACGTGCTCCGGCAGTATGGTTGCCTCCTCCGCCTCCATCCGCCGCCGTCCCAGCAGCAGCAGCCGCGCCGTCACCGGCCCGGCTCACGCCACTACCTGCACTAACGGTACCCCCACTCCCAGCTCCACCAACACCAGCAGCAGCAAAACCAGAGCCATCACCCTCAGCATCCGAGGGGATGGGTGAGGCTAGCTCATCTAAGCCCGCCGCGTCGCCCTCCGCCCCCCGCGAATGCATGTAAAAGTGAGTGAGGGGCATGTAGCCAGGCAGTAGCAACGAGCCGCATTCGGGACAGAGGCAGCGCACCAGCAGCAGCTCGGGGTCAGAGGCGCGACCTGGGGATATGGGGGTAGAGTGAGGACGAGACATGGGTAAAGTGAACAAGCTGGACTGGGCGTGCTTGGTTGCGTGTGTGAGTTGTGATGGGAAGAAGGAAATCTGCACAGGGAAACTTCGCCGACTTCGCCCACTACGCCAACTGACGGAGCCAAAATGCAAATGCTGCGGGTCGCGCCTGGGGTTTTAGCGGCTAGTCTGCTAGCTGCCAACTGCTCCCATTTTAACACCGACATAATGTTGCGCTGCTTGCCATGTCGTGTGAGCGTGGCAATATGGAAAGCAGAATCAAGGAGCAGCAGCCGGAACTATTTGCCGTCGGTTTGGGGTGGATTCGTATCCTTCTGAGCCCTCTGAATGAATACTCGTGTCCATGTGCCCGATCGTGATCGTCACATGTCTACCATCATGAACCCATAAAGACGCACAACGGCTACACGCCAAGCATGCAATATTCGTTCCATGACACACATGGGCGTATCCTCTCACACTGCGTGCTTGGCCATCCATGCATTTGGCCATTGAAATACTAAAATCGCACGGTGGCGGGAGGAGCAAAGGCCAGGAGGAAATCATACACCTTCTCCATCCCTGGCCCCTTAACACACGCCTTTGCCCAGGGCGAGGCGTGTTACTACACTACACTTCTTTACTGATATCATTATAACTATGTTAGCTTCGCGTTCCGAAAAAAACGCATCTCCACACAAACGCACACAGGCAGACAAATAAAGGAGTCACGCCCCCAGAGCTGCACAGCTCGTGCGACGCACCCCCAAGCATTTGAGCCGTCAGCTTGCCACACGTCAGGAAGAGCTGCGGCAGCCATGTGGCCGCCCGCAGCAGCGACAGCAGCAGCGGCACCGGGCTGTGGTCGGAGCCGTCGCGACCCGTCAATGTGTGGGGCGGGAACTGCGGTCAGGCACGACGCAGGCAGGAGGGCACGTGCGCGGGTGGGAGCTTGGAGTAGGGAAGGGGAAGAAAAAGGAGGATCGGGGTATTCATACATGCAAAAGTAAACGCATTTAAAGCATTAGGTTAATATGACGGCGACGCCCAAAGCGCCATCTGCAGGTGCCCAAAGCAGGGTGGGGTAATATTTGCAAAGCCAAGGAAGCAACTGCCGACGTCCGAAGCAGGGATAAGGGGGTTAAGACGAACCAATTTGACGATTGCGGCAGATACCAGGGGTAAAGGAGGGGGGATGACAACGAATGAATATGCGAGGCGAAATCCAAGTGTATGTGTTGTGAAGCAAGGTGGTAAGAGGAGTAATGGGCGACAGTGCAGAAGGATTTTGCGTGTGCAGATAACAGAATGCTGAATATCATCTGCCCGAAGTGAGCGGGAAGAGGGAGTGAATGGGGGAGGTAGGGGGAGGGAAAGGCGGTGCCAATGACCCTTGTGGTTTAGATCACACAGATCTGTATATCACAACAGATTCCTAGATCACACCAAAAAAAACACCGGACAACGAAACGCGACATGGCCAGGTAACATCCGTTCCATCCACCAACCCCCACGCGCCCTGCCACCCACCTGCAAGATTCGGAAAGGCGTCAGCGGCGCGTGGTACACAACGGAGGGCTTGCGCCTCTTCGACTTGCTCCCAGCCTTTCCCCCTTGCTGCTGCTGCTGCTGCTGTTCCTGATGTTGTTGCTCCTGTTGCCCGTGGTGTGCGTGACCCGAAGAACGCTGGCGGTTCAGCTGCGACAACTGCTGCTGCTGCTGCTGTCGATGTTGGTGTTGCTGCAGCTGCGATTGAAGCTGAGGATGGCGCCACCGCGGCTGCTGCTGTTGTTGTTGGTTATGAGGCTGTGAGGAAGGCCCCTGTTGCAACGCCGGCTGCTGTTGTGGCAACTGTTGTTGCTCCTGCTGCTGCCGTGACGGTTGCGATTGCAGCCTTGGCTGTTGCAGCAGCAGCTGCTGCTGCGTGGGAGGCTCACGTTTCAACAGCCCCTGCCCCTGCCCATGGCTATGCGATGCCGCCACGACAGCCGCAGTAGCGGCAACACCAGCAGCAGAAGTTCCTGCGACTGCTCCGTCTCCTACGGGTGGTGGTGTTGGTGATGATGATGAGTAGTGCCTTTGGCGCTGCGGGTACGGGTGCTGCTTTGGTGGCCTGGGCTGCGGTTGTTGTGGAGGCGGCAGGGGGCTCGGCCCCGACCCCGACCCACTCGCAGCCGTGCGGCGTCCGGACAATGCGAGCAGAGCCGCCCGATTCGCCTGGAGCAGAGGAGCGGAGCGGGCCCTCGTCAGGCATCACGCCCGTTTACTTATTTTCCACGTTTCCATTTCACTCCCTTACACACAAATATGCTCATATGTATAGAACAAGAACACCAGGACATCAGCCGACAGTCTGTCGCCGTCCAAACCCGCATGCGCTTTCCCCCCAATTTGCCATTTCGCCATGCAGCCGCGTCTGGTCACAGGCCCAACATGCCTTGCCGCTCAATCCCGCATGCACCCCTTTTTAAATTAACCCCGTCATCCCTGGCCTCACACTCCCTCCACGACACGACACGGCTCCCCCCTCCCTCCAACCCATCCCCCGCTGCTTCATTTGTTCACCTTTCCACCCAGCCCCCTGCCCCTCCACCCAATCCCCCGTTTCCCGCCACCCACCACTCACCCAAACCCTCCACATCTCGCCTCCGGCCCACCCAAACCCGCCACCCAGGACCCCTTCTTCCCCTGAGCATAGATTTCCCCCTCAGCCTCACCGGATCTTGCGCTGCTGCCCACAGCGTCGCCACGCCACGTGACTCCCACACGTCATTCCACTGTGCCAACACGTTCCGTGCGGCCTTGTGCACGTCGTGATCCTCCGCATTGTACGTAAAGGCGTTTTCGCACATCTTGCGCACCGCAGCATCCACCTAACGTCGGGGAACACATGCAGAGGCGCAAGGGGCACATAGACTGCTTGGCACCGGCAGGGCTTTGGGCCACCACAAAACGGGGGGGGGGCGGGGGCTACATGGCTGACGGGAAAGGTGGTCACAGGCCTTGGGATGTGGTGACAGGGGTTGGGAGCGATTCCGCCGAGGGCTTAGAACTACGTAACCCAGAACGAAAAGGGGTTTCAAAGGCATCGACACCCAAGTAGGGATTGAGGAGGAAGCATCAGGGGAGGGATCCGGACAAGAGCCAACACCTTTGGGAGTTTGAGCTGTGGAGTAGATGGCTGGCGTGCGGAGGGCGTAAGGGCCGAACGTTCAGCCGCCCGAATGGCTGGGGGATCCATTCGATGGTTGCGGGGTCAGAAGGGAATGGAATGGGACATATTCAATCGGTAACCAGGTCCATGGTCGGCGATAGGTTGGTCTCTAATCCCTTTACTTCGGTGGGGAGCCCCTAGGTGGAGAGCCACTAGGAAACTTTGGTGATACCGCGCCCGGACGGACGAAAAAACGACAGCTAGTCGGACATGGCTCATTCGCTTCGCCCTACTCTGCCAGCATGGCCCCAACACTGAAACACACTGAGACTCCGAATTCACCCAGTCCTTGAGCCAGCTCCTAAGCCCACACGCCAAATTCCACCAACCCCCACGACGTCCTTCCGTATTAATTCTTAGCAACGACGGAGTCTGTTGGCGCCGCGGCCTGATGAAGCTGAGTGGGTGTGCGGCAGCGTGGTGCTGCTCACAATGCCTCGTTGCTGGGTTACGTGGGTGCTGTTGTGTTCTGTCGTACAGCACCCCGGCGCCATCCGTACGAGTAACCCCTCGCGTTTGCATTCTGCGTGCTGGGGGGGGGGGCTGGACGCCCCCAAACCCCAGCACCGAAAGAACGATTGGAATTATATCTGATCGAGGCCCGAAAGTGGGGAGTGCAGGTCAGGCCTGGTTCGCTAGCTTGGCTTGCCGGCTGCCGGCTGCAGCATGTGGCCGGTGGAATGGGTGCATGAGTTGGCGCCAAGGCGCGTGCGGGGAGCCGCAAAGCCCGCCGGCTGCAGCCCCTTGGCGCAGCAGCAGCCGTTGGAGGCGGTGGAGGCACTGCCGGATACTCAGCGGTTCGGAGGTGAATACCCACCTCGAGCGGGGACTTATACTTCAAGTTTTCCAGGCGGGTCTTTATGGTTAGCAGGTCCTGTGGGTCCTTTATGACGACGTAGTAATTGGGAGCTCCGTGTTTCTCCTCGTCCACCGGCTCCTGTGGATGGTAACCGCACGCAGCCGGACATGGAAGCCTCAAATCCGCCTTTAATGACAGTAATGCAAGGTATTGTCCCGGGCCTGCAAGGTCACTTACCCGAAAACACCAAGAAAGTTGGGACTGCCATATGGTGTTTATAGCGCCTTTGCAAGCCCTCCAGGCCTTGTCCTCCAGCTCCGCCTGTTGTTTGTGCACATGGCCGAACGATGCGGTGTAAGCCGTCATTGAAACGTGCGCATGCGCTGTGATGAGCGCGCATAAAGCTGTCCAACACGCGGTCAAAACCTAGACACAATTGCATGGGGAAGAAGACCCTCTACCTTGTCGCTTTTTGTCATGGCCAAATTTGGTGAAGACGTTCATGGCATTTTGCACACTTTACAACTACCCCCTACAGGAGCCCAAGCTATCTTCATCAGCTTCATGTGGCAACGAATATGTGAGTATACCTAAAATCATATGAAAGCAACTTCGCTGTTGAGTTTTTGATCGCGGCTTTGATAATCATTCGCGCCAGTTTGATTGACCCTGGATTTGCTTGTAATAAGCTGTGTACATATTCTTCCTCGGGATAGAATTTACATATCATTTTTGTCTTTAAGCTTCTTTAGGGCATAACAGCACTGGGGAAGGTATTGCGCTAACGAGCAAGACTGTTATTGCTAAGTGGGGGCCGGCGTGTACAATTGCATGCGTAGCCTTAAAGTGGGTAGCCCGCAGCGGAGTCCTCGTTGCGCACCGGTCTCTGCTCGACCCACGGAAGCCCCACGACGGCCTGCGCCGTCAGAGCCGCCGACGACACGCGGAAGCCCCAGTTTTAGGCGTCGTGGCACGATGGTTCTAGGCCTGAAGACCATCGCGGGCTTCGTGTCGAGGTCGCTCCGACGAGGCACAAGCACGCGACTGGAGGCAGCATCGGTGAGACCGCCCCTTTTCGACATCGTCGTGTCGCAACTGTCGGTGTTCGTAGTGCCAGAACGCAAGGGTGGCACCTGATTGCTGAGTTTACGATTTTGTGTTACAAAAATATGGTATGCCGCTCATTCCCTGTTGCAGCGCGAGCCGATGACACAGGCGGAAATCGAGGACCTGGTGCTGAAGCTGAACAAAATTGAGGTAGGAGGGGGTAATTATTTTGAACATCCTGTAGGGGTTTCATTTGGAGAAACTCACGGCAGGGGTAACGACTGGTTACAAAAAAGCGTCAGCGCTACCACACACGCGAATCAACTACACCGCCCGCCCGTCAGTTCAGATCATGTACCTTTCCGTATACGCGATGCTAATGTTCCTTACCTCCAACCCAACCTGCTTGATAGGCCGTCAAGTTCGGCGAATTCAAGCTTAAGAGCGGCTTGGTGTCCCCTGTCTACGTGGACCTTCGCATCATCGTCTCGTACCCCGACGTGCTCGAACAGGTTTGTGGATGGGCCGCTGCTGCTTTCCTTACACATCCCGATCCTATCCGATACTTCTGTCAACACGCAATTTAGTGAGCGAGGAACCAATAGAAAATTCGTATTACATCCGCTTCCCCCCCGTAAGGACTTTAGGGACAGGTTGAAGGGTGTTGATTTGGCGACTTGATGATGCGTCTCCCTGGAGCAGGGCGCGCACAGGATTGTTTGGAATTTTTGGGGTGACTGGATGTATAGCTTTTATGCGTGTCCGGGGGAAAGGGCTGGATGGGACAATGAATCCTCTTTCCCCCCAGGCAGCCAGGCTTTCGCACGACGCTGGAAACTCTTAATGGCTCGCGAGGTCCAGCCACGGATCCAGATCTGGATTTGGGTCACGTGTATGGATTCGGTCAGAATTCCGGTATATTGGGATCTGGGTCAGGCGCGGAGGGCCTAAATCTCGGTCGGTAATCGTCCCGAGGGGTTTGGGGTCGGCCACACGCCAGAGGGCGTCTACGCCTGCGTCTCCCACCAACGCGTGCGCCCTCGCCCTCCGAAACCCGCTTCTCCCAGGTTTCACGCATGATGTGGAATGCAGTGCGCGGCTGTCAGTACGACATCATCTGCGGTGTGCCGTACACTGCCCTGCCCATTGCGACCTGCATGTCCTTGGGCTTTGGCGAGGCCATGGTTATGCGCCGCAAGGTACGGCATGTACATGGCACACTGCTTGTGATGGAAAGCTGGGTGCCGTACAGGGCATCATGGTACGGCGCATGGCAGCGCAAATGAGCACGAGCCTGGAGCCCGAGGCTGGAGTGGCAACAGCCGCAGCCTGTTTGTGCAACATCGATATAATATTTAACGACCAAGAAAACAGCAGTAGCAGCAGCAGTCGCTGTCTGCCGTACATGATGAATGTACAGGGCACTATGGCGCCATCATCATGATCACCACCTTTGATGACTCTCCCTCATCACCACAATCCTGGCACCCACAGGCCCCCCCTCACACCAACCAACCATCATGACAGCATGCCTCTACAGATAAAGCTCCCAGCCATGTACTTTCCTCCTCCTCCTTCTGCCGGCTTCTCCTTCCCCGCCCCGGTCTGTCCCATTGGTCTCTACCTGCTCCCGCCCCTCCTCCACCCCGACCGCCCGCCCGCCTCCTCCCTCCCTCCCTGTTTCCCGCCTCCTTCCCCTCCTCTCCTGCGCTCTTAACTTCCTTAGGAGGTGAAGGATTACGGCACAAAGAAGGCCATCGAGGGGGCCTACAAGGCGGGCCAGCGCTGCCTCATAGTGGAGGACCTGGTCACCAGCGGGGCCTCCGTGCTGGAGACCCTGGACCCACTCAAGGTGGTCTTTCTTACTCCCGGGGGGGAAATTACTCCGGGGGGGACGGGGGAAATCTCGTGACGCACTCGATTTAGGAGTGTTCATATGCCGGGTCGCTTTCGGGGGAAGGGGAGGGATTTAAGAGGAGCAGGGGAAAGGAGAAATGGGATGTAGAAGTGCTTTGCGGTATCGGTTGCGGAGGTTGCCGTCGCCGTTGTCATCGTCTCGTCGGGGCCGTCAGCAGCTGCAGCTGCAGCACTCCAGAGGAACTTCTTTTCCGCGAATACTTAACTTGGTCATCAACTGCAGCATCGTCAGCAAACCTTGTTCAATCATTCGGTTGGCAGCTCTCAAGTGCCTCCTAGGGTATCTGTGTCACTGCTTAATAAAACCCAACCTTCCTTCCTCCGCATGCTCTCTCTCCCGTGTCTCACCCAGGCGGAGGGGCTGCTGGTGAGCGACGTAGTCGTCCTGATCGACCGCGAGCAGGGCGGTGAGGCGCACCTGGCCAAGCACGGCCTGAAGCTGCATGCCGCCTTCAAGCTGTCCGCCATGTTGGACGTGCTGACGAAGCACCAGCTAGTTACCGAGGAGCTGGCGGACAAGGTAAGGAACTGGGGAGGGGGGCGGGGGGGTTCCTTGCGAAGAGTGAGGAGGGGGGACCGTGTGGAGAGTTGGGAGGGAATCAGCATCATCAATCAGCAGCACTCAGCAGCACTAGCGTTCATCATTGGTTGTCTTGGTGTTCATTCGCCGTCGTCGTCGGGTATTTGTGCGCTGCTGCAGGTTAGGACGTTCATTGCGGAGAACCAGACAACGCTGCCGTCGGCGGGGGCGGCAGCGCCAGCCGGGGCAGCAGCTGCCCCGGCGGCTGTGGCTGCTGCACCAGCTGCCGCCGCCGCCGCCGCTGCAGTAGCAGCTACGGCGCCAGCACCCGTGCCTCCCGCAACCTTGAAGAGGTGAGTTGGCTCGCGACACGCAAGAGCCATACATACAATAAAGACGGTATGTGACAGTAGCGTCGCACGTGTGATAAGAATATTTTTACACATTGCAGATTGCCGTACGAGCAGCGCATTCCACTGGCCAAGAACGCGATGGCGCGACGGTGTCTAGAGGTCATGGTCCGCAAGCTGACGAATCTCAGCGTGGCCGCGGACGTCGACACGGCGGAGGAAATGTTGGAGCTCGCGGATAAGGTAAGAGGGTGGAGTAAGGGGTAAGGGTTGCGGAGTGCGGCTTATGCGAGGATAGCGGCGTATTTGTGTTTGTTTTCAACAAGGGGATATGAGCGGCGTTATAGGGGTAAGGGTTGGTGGGGGTCTGCGATAATCCAACATATGGAAGGAATAATTTTAAAAGAACTATTCGGTTTTTGGCCGAGCAGTTGAGCGGTAGGGCAGTAGGGCGCCGCAAAAGTAAAAGTAAAGTGGTGACACCGCACGAAGCTTCCTGTGCTCAGAACCTGCTGATTTCCCGACCTCTAAATTTCGGGCCCTTACGTTGCCTTCCCTGGACCTTGTGACTTCTTGGCCCCCGTTAAGCTCGACCGCGGCAGACCTGACCTGACCTGACCCGGGGAGAATGCGTATTTGCTGCGTATGGCGCCGTACAGGTTGGGCCGTACATTTGCGTGTTTAAGACGCATGTTGACATTTTTGACAAGTGGGACGACTCCATCGCCGCCCGGCTCACGGTGAGTTGGGATTTTCTTGATGACGTCTATAGAAAAAATTTATATGGTCTCTCATGTAGGGTGTGTGGTGGAAGAGATACTGGTGGGGATACTGGTTTGGGGCATGCATGGATGGATGGATGGATGGAGGGATGTGATCATACATGCAGGTGCAGGTCCGCCGGCGTGACAGGTACGTCTTGCTTGTTAGCCTTGTCGTCGTTCAGACACGGCACTTCATGGCTGGAGCACACTCCTATATATGGGGAGTGCTGTCGTGGGACGGCAACAACGCTCTATCCGACCTACCCTTTGGATCTCTACTCCTCCATCCCATTTACCCTCACGCCGCGTTTGGGTCTCTTGGGCAATCCTCCTTGACCGCTTGACATCTTGCCCCTCCTCCTTCCTGCCTTCCGCCCTCCCCCTTCCATTCCCGTTACCGCAATTCCCCCCCTCCGCCTAATCCTCCTGCCTCTGCGACCTGCGCAATACACATGGCACGTCGTGGCGGCGGCGCCATGTGGATTCGGCTTTTTGAATCATCCTGGATGCCACGTCCTGTACATTTGTACGGGCATTGGCGTGCCCTACCGTACGCGCCAATGTACTATCGTGAATGTACCGCTGCTGCAGGAGATTGCCAGAAAGCACGGTACGCTGGGAGAGTTTGTCCCGGTTTCCCTCCCCCTCCGGCTTCGTATTACAACTTTTCTTCCACTCTTATTATAGTCTTGGCGGCTAGTCTTGGCGGCTCCCTCCTCATCCCGCATCCCTCATCCCATGTCAGCTGTTTCTCTCCTTAGATACGAAGAAGGTTGACGGAGGGAAAGTACCGTTAAGCTTGTGTGGCATCATTTCCGAATGTAGCGAGTTTGTACAACGCATATCGCTGGAAATGCATTTTAGCTTGTCCAAATCCCTTCAATCCCCATTCTGTTATATATTTTTCTCTCTCTGCGCTTTTCAATAAGCACTGCCCCTCTCCCCCTGGTAATAACCAAAAAAAAACATTGAGCTGAACCTACCATACTCAGCTAGCTACACTAACTACCTAGCTGCATAACCCTTTCCCCCCCCCCGCACTCCACCCAAAACCTTTTCCCCCTCTCCCTCAATACAAACACGTGAACAGATTTCTTGATTTTCGAGGACCGCAAATTTGCGGATATTGGCAACACCGTGGTCTCCCAGTACGGCGGCGGCATCTACAAGATCGCCGAATGGTCGCACATCACCAACGCCCACCTGGTGCCAGGTCCCGGCATCATTGACGGCCTCAAGACGGTGGGGCTTCCGAAGGGGCGAGGGCTGCTGCTTCTGGCAGGTGAGTGGCGGGTTTCGGAGGTATGGGGGAGGTATGGGGGAGGTCGAGGGCGGGTTGTTGGTATCTCTCGACCGAACGCCTGGCTTGGCTCGGGGGCTTTTGTAGGTGGTATGGGATATGGACAGAAGCAGGCAGGCAGGCTTACACACACATTTACACAGTTACCCGCACATATCACAGCACGCTCTTGCCATTGCAGAGATGAGCAGCAAGGGCAACCTGGCCTCCGGGTCGTACACGGAGGCCGTTGCGGCGGTTGCGGAGCAGCACGCGGACTTCGTGATGGGCTTCATTTCCATCAACCCCGCAGCCTGGAAGAACGGACCTGGGTCACCAGGTGGGGTGCGGTGAGGTGTAGTGGGGGGAAGAAGTTTACTAAAATTACACTAGGCAATACAATATTGTTATTGTATACTGTTCCAGTATTGTTAATGTGGACTATATTATAGTCCGGGATGCGCGGTGGAATATGCTTTTTAATTCGGAGCTAAGAGCGAGGAGAGCGATCACACTCTCTGTCAGGCGCGGCTCTCGGATGGGCCCAACGGGCCGCACAGTGCATAGGAGGGCTGAGCGCTCGTAGGAACGTAGAAGACGCACACAAGACTTTTTGAAAGAGAAAGGGGTGTAAAGAAATGGATAGGCGGCCAAGATACGTGTAGATGTCCGTGTGCGTGTGTGTCTGTCTCGCTTTTTGCTTCTGGATGTATGTGTGTATATATATACACATATATACTACAAGCTAGCTAGATACATACATATATATATAACCCTATATATATATGTGTGTGTGTGTGTGCATGTGTGTAGGATGCTGCTAGTAGTCTCTTGTGCTCCCTGAGGGGGTTTGGAACGCGCGTTCTCGAACTCTTAATGATATTCCCCGATGCTCCCGAGGTCCCCCTACGTCTGTACTGTAGGCTATGAAATACTCGTTGTCATGTTCCATGCACTGGCCCCGTATTTTCCTTTCCGTCACTGCCACCCGCCCGCACCAGGCCTCCTGCACATGACCCCGGGCGTACAGCTAGCCGCTGGCGGCGACGCGCTGGGCCAGCAGTACAACACACCCATGGACGCTGTTGCCGTACGCGGCAGTGACGTCATCATCGTGGGACGTGGCGTCATCAAGGCCGCTGACCCTGCGGCCGCGGCGAAGCAGTACCGGGATGCGGGCTGGGAGGCTTACAAGGCCTCCCTGTAAACAGGAGGAAAGGGGTAGTGCACAATACTGCGATGGTGTTGTACGGAAATCCGTACGACCTGTAGGTCCACCGCTTTGGACGTATCTGCCTCCCTGCGTGATCCTGCCTGGGTCCAAGTTCCATGAAGTCAATTTTAAAAGACCAGCTGTTTTAACCTACGTACCATGTCTCGTCGTGTTGCGGTGGTAGTGAGTGAAAGCGGCTGGCAGCGTGCAGCGGTGGTGCAATGCAGGCTGTAAGCTAGACTTCGCATGGCCTTCGCATTGTGAAGGAGAGGGCGGGCTTGTAACTGCTATGGTACCTTTTCTTGGACGTCTTTTAATATTTGTTACAATGGGGTACTTAGCCAACGGAATACTTAGACCGTTTGGACGGGGGGTTAGGTAGTAGTGGTAGCAGTAGTAGTAGGAAATAAAAGCCCTAAGGAGCTGCGGTGACGGTGGGCACCATCCACGGCTGTCAACATGGAGGAGGACGAGAAGGTTTCTTGTGACACACGCTGAGCATCAACGCTGACTAGACTCAATTTTGTTTGTGCGACACATGGTATCTGTCGTGATGTGGGTTCGTAAGTATTGATGCACGCGTGCGCTCTCTTCTCTCTATCTCTAGAGTGGTAACCTGGTCACCTATAGTCTCATTCGAACGCCGCGACGGGGGTACATTGTGACCCCCTTGCACATCTCACCCAAGCTGGCGCCCAGGGGTGTGTGTACATATAATGCCCAAATCCGTCGCTTGTTTGTCCTGGAATTGCAATGAACCACCCACTGCAAATATGCGGCCTCGGAGGGCACCGCTCGCACACCCGACGCATATCGCCGCGCACGTACCAGCTAACAGGGAGCATCTGGCCATCCGAGGCATGTGTCGCATGCCACGGAAAGGGCAAAGCCGCCCTTTCTAACGAAATGAAAATATGGCTTTTACCAAACTATTTAACTTGAAGATTTTTATTATTAGTCAACTATTTAAACAAGCATCGCGAACTGACGCGGAAGTTGTAATCAAAACCCCGGAGGACCACAACTATTGTCGAGGGGATACTAAACTCCATAAGTTTAAAATAATGCTTCATAATGGCCGGGATAGTTCCGACGCCCATTTTTTGCAGCCCAGGCTGCAGCAGACGTCGAAAGCAGTTCAGCCATGCAGGCAGCTAGACAGGCAGCAGCATCAATCCACTCTCGACCACTCCTTTAAATGACATCAATACACCAAGCTCGCGCCAACCACTACCAACCGACGATGACAATCACAATCCGGTTAAAACCCAAGCCCAGATGTTTTACGCTACATGTGAACCACGTGATACGATCCTTATGCCGCGCTTCTTAACGCAGTTGTACTACATTTTGCATCGCACATGACAGTCCCGTACACCAGCTCACCACCGACCGCTTCCATTCATCCATACTAACCTATCCTGCATGTGACATAAAACTCGTCCCGGTTGTATGCGCGTATGAGTGCCTGTATGAGGGTATGCGTATACTACCAGTGCGTGTGCCGCCCAGGATATGCATGCGTATCTTGTCTCTTATCCCCGTATCTACTACTCTTCTCCCCGATTTGGCCAACCAGCCGCACGCGCACACATGCGCGCGCCTGGACGACCGATGTGATGACTGTATGACGGCCTAATGGCGGTGACAAGCGGTCATGTCGCACCGGGTGGCATATCGACACACGGACACACCCTCGCGACGAAGCTATTGACAAAATACACACGTCACGGCCGCGCCCCATCCGGCGCCATGACGCCAGGGACACAAGACCCGACACGCGTGTTTCTCATTTCTCCAGGGCGCCGGCCTGGCGCGCGCACCGTGACTGAACTCAAATGCCATTTACTGCCAATTCGCCGTTTGCGGAAACACGAACAAGAGATGTCACACATTAGCTAAATGAACATGACCACGGGATCGGTGCGCCTCCCTCCCTGGCATCGCCTTTCGCCAGGGCGCCGGCCTGGGCGATAGACCGCATGCGAGACGCAAAGAATGAACTTGATGCCACGGGAGCAACTGCCTTTTAAATTGTGGCCCATTTCCGCTCGTATTCGTGCCAGAGAGGGAAGCGCGCGCGATGCGGGATCCCCCCTAGAGTTTTGTCGACGTTGCTGTAAATAGTGTTGCTGAGCAAAAGACATATGGTATGCTAGACGTACAGCAGCACATACATACATTTATACATACCACACATACTCAATACATACGACGTATCGGACACTAAATGTCAGGATCGCTGGTATCTCTGTTGAGCAACCCACCCGCACTGACACACCAGCACCCGCACCGCACACACACTACTGCTCTCGAAAAAAAGCTACTCATTCCGGACTCGGTAGGAAAGCGGCACAGCCCTTTTGCGTCACGCGTGCATCATCACACCACACACACGCACAGCACAAGCAGGTTAGCAAGCCACCCCCCCTCCACCGCAATATCCGAGACCACCATCTGCATCTGCCCGACCAGCTCAACATCAGCGTCTAAAAACAGCATCGCCAACATCATCATCAATCACCTATTTCACCATTATGACAGTTGTGGACATGCGGGTGAAAGGCCCATGCACTGAATACGAGTGATAACTATTACGCGAAAGATATGTCCCACACCCACACATCAAGGTTCGCAACAAAAGGCCGCGCCGTCCTAGCTATATGAACACTGCGCGGACCGGCAGACAGGTTGTAACTAGTCGGCCTGTAAGAGAGTTTGCCTGTAGCTGTTGGTGTTGCAGCCGCAGCCGCCGCAACGTCATCATCATCATCATCAGCAGCAGCAGCAGCAGCAGCAGCAACAACAGCAGCTACAGACATCACCCACAAGGCCCTTTAATCCTTCACAAAGGTGATATCTTCCGCACTACAACTTCCAAAACTCCAACAACACCGAGCTAACGACCAATCAACCAACTCCAACAGTGGACACAAGTTGCAGGTGACAGCAGTAAAGATGAGATGCAGCGGTATAATGGAAAGAGCCGACAGAGACGAGCTACGAAGGCAGGCAAAACCAGTTCTTTGGAGAGATCCTAGCCAATATCTGCAGGTTTGTCGGTGCGGCACGGAGGTATACTTGGGCATACCACGGCAGACACAGCTCGCCATGTACACGACGATAGGGACCCCGAACCGCCGAGTGGCAGGTAGGCATGTGAATGAAGCAAACACGCTAATCTCCACACCAAGTGCCCCATCATGATGGTGATGATTATGATGATGGCAAAGACAAACGTCTTTGAAAATGTTTTGATTGCTTCTCAAAACATCAAAAACATTTATGCAGATTGTTATTGTTGTCCTTGCTACTACTACTACTACTACTACTACTACTGCTGCTGCTGGGCCCAACATGTCCTCGTTTTTATAGTGCATTCGCATACACGTGTGCCGAACCCGTGGTGGCCGCCCGTGAGGAACAAAAAGGCAAATCACCCGCACGGCCCCACGGTAAAGGACATACATACATACATACGTGCGGGTGCATGTAGGCCACATATTCCTGCTTTACCTGTTAGGAGACGCATACATTGCTGCAAAACACACATTACACACACATACACTCAACTCAGTCTACACACGCACACGGCACATGCCACCCATTCGGTCTCTCACGCATAGGACAGAGGGAGGAAACGGCGACAAGAGAGACCATTTGCTGTGGCGAGGGGGGAAACCTTGAGTTGGCAGGGGGCCGGAGTTTCCAGATGGCGGCCTCTGTGTCCCCCCCCCCACCCGCGCGCCGCACGATCTCTCTCTCTCACACCATCAAAACCACCACCATCTCCTCCCCCGTCCGCCCAGAACCTCAAGGGGAGCCCAGGTGGGGGCTACAACGCTTGTACGATACCGTGCGAACTGGACGGCCTGTAGCCCCCCGGGGCTGTACAACGCTGTACACGCACACACACAGTTGTCTAATACCGGTATAATCACGATAAGAGCTGAACAGCGATATCTAGGACCCGTGCAGACGCGATCCGATACACATACAGACGCGACAACTGTCCGCAATTGCAATGCAAGACTGAGTTCACCACGTAGCTACCTTCCCAGTCGCCCCTTCATCCCCACACTCCGGCGCACGGGCGCAAAGCGACCCACCAAGTGACACACGCGCATGGACACACACTGGGAGGGGGCTGTGAGGCCTGAAATGCTTCGTTCACACCCACCTTCCTCCAAGGACGATACCCCCCAGCCACACAACGGTAAGAGTAGCGAGACGGTCGGGAAATGGAAAGGAGTGCATGGCATGAAGGGCGGTTGACAGGTCGGCCCGTTGCCTTCTCGTACATTGCACATGTTTAAGCAATTTTTAAATGGACGGATTGGCGTCTCCTCTCCTTGGGTCATTGTTGGCCGTGTTGCCAACTGGCCTTTTATACCGCCGGTAGATATGGAGATAGAGCATGCGCCGTGTGTATGTATGTGTGCATGCGTCAACTCTCTGTATACGTGCGCGTGCGTGCATGTCTTCCCACCATCATCAACCACCAGCATGATCCACACACTCATTCTTCGTGATCTTCTTCTTCGCCGACGGACGAGACCCCACCCGCCGCTAAGTCGTATTGCTGCTTTGCATCCACCGTCAAAACATGCGGCCACCCGAGAGACCACCTCGTGTATGTATACGTACATACATACATATATACACACACGCTCTTGCGGAAGTGCGAGGTAGGATGGTGCTTATAGGCGATCTGGCAGCCCTTGAGCCCTCGGCTCGTACTAGGGTGGTTTGCAGGTTTGTACGGGGTGCGGCACCTCCACGACCATGTAACACACACACAGACAAACTCGTACGTACACACACACACACACACACACACAGGGAACGCACACAACTTGGCGCTTCTTTGGGGATTCCGACATCTCCGTACATGGTACACACATACATACATACGCAAACGGTTCCCACCCAATGCGCCCCTGCCCATTCGGTCCGGCTCAACCTGTCCCACGTCATCTAACCGACATACATACACATACACAAACCCTCCACGTGCGCGTCCGAATCATCCGGCGGGTGCCCACGATTTGCATGTCGAGAAAATGCTCATATGCCGTACATGCTCGCATCGTGTGCACCCCCATACCCCCATACACCCGTGTCACGACGTACAAGTAAGAAACTGCCCCCACACCCCACACCCCGCACTCCGTCGATTGTAGCCCGCCAAGAACTGAGTCTGTCGCGCCGCGTAACTGTCATATATTATTTTGATCACGTGGCTGTGCCCTGTTTCTTCATATGCCATGCCTTGTCCTGTCGTACATGCCAGGTCCCAATGCCCAACGTGCCGTACACCATGCCACATCATGTTGCATTGCAAAGTCACATGATGCCATGCTTCAAGCGTTGCCACGCTGCGATTGGCCGAAAAGCTGCCATGCCTCTGCCACACGAGAGCGCTACTCTCACGTAATAAGACGAAAACGCACACACCAACCAACCATCCATCCATCCGATCCACATGGGGACCATTTCCGAGCCACTGAGCCACTGAGCAAATGCGCCCTCTCAACGCCCTCCCTCCGCCGAAAACACGCACGCCCTCAGCCACACACACGGCCACAGCCACACACACAAACAAACCGCATATGCGGCACTGTGTGAACCCCTCGGTTTTCTTTTCCTTCCTTCCAAGCCGCAACAAACCTCAACCTACACCACCAATTTTGATTTATTCCACCACCAACTGGAGAGAAGGGCAACCGCTGCAGCTGCTGCTGTGGTCTCACGGGCCCTATGTCCGTTACCCCAACTGCTAATAACGTTGCCCAGGCGAACACCACCTCCCTTTCGTCCCGTTTGAAGTCCGCATCTGATGTCATATGTGGCTTCGTGTACTCTTGTGTTCCCTCGCAAACATACATTTTCACCCCTTCTAAAGAAATTACGGGTTGCCCCTAAAACCATAAAACCCTTTCCTTGTAAATCCTATCAAGTCGTGTCGGAGCCGTGTTAGAGCCGCATAGCGCCGATCTCCCTCCTCATCCTCCTCCTCCTCCATCTTTCCCGGGGATCCCCCCTGAGCGCTGACCCTCCGCGAATCGCTCCTCTCAAAGCGCCTGACGCTTATGCGGACCGCCCCCGGCCCCGCCGCCAAGGACTCCGGGCTCCCCACCGCCACCACCACCACCTGCACCACCTCCCCCCAGGTCAGGCGGTCCTCGCTTGTATCCTAGCCCGCCGCCACCACCACCACCACCCAGACCGGCGCCGGCAAGGCCCAACCCGCTGAGGCCGATATTACCGCTGCCGGTACGTACCAGCCCCACAGGCAGTCCCCCCCCTTGACCGCCAAAGTACTCCGAAAGTAGATTGGAAACCATGGGGTCGTCCACAACGCCGACTCCGACACCCTCCGCCAGGTCGCCCTGAAGGCCCAGGAGGGCAGCGGCACGGCCGCCCTGGAGCTGGAGACCGCCGCCGCCGCCGCGGCCGCCGCTAGCGGCGGCCGCGGCACGGGCCCGCCAGCCCGGGTGCAACGCCTCGACACCCAGCCCGCCGCCGCCGCCACCGCGCCCGAGGGTGACGGGCAGCAGGCGGCTGGCAGTGGAAGCGGGCCCGCCAGCCAAGCTGACGAGACCAGCCTGCTCAATGGCCTGCATAAGGCCCCCCCGGCTGCCCAAGCTACCGCTGCAGGCAGGGCCACCCGCCAGCGTAACTAGCATGGCTTCCCTGGAGTCTTGCTGTTGTCGGCCGCCGCCGCCGATTTGCAGCTGCAGGCGGCCGGTGCCCCCGCCGCCGCCGCCGTCGCGGGTAATATGGATGCTGGCCCCGCCGCCACCGCCACCCTGATGCTGACGGGCCAATGTAGGCGTCGAGTCCAGGAGGAGCGGGTTCACGACGTGACCGCCGCCGCCGCCGCCGTCGCGGCCCGCGGCCCCCTGTAGGCCCAGGCCCGCTGCCAGGAGAAGCTGATCGTCGTTGATGTCCAGCGGCAGAAGGGAAGAGCGCTGCTCGTACTGATTGTCATAAGATCGTACAAGTTGGGGCTGTACGGCATGCGCGCCCTGCAGAAGCGCCTCCAACGTCAGCCGTCGGTCGAGGGACGGGTGCTCCTGGCGATATCGAGCACTGTTGCCAGGGCCCGTCGCTGGGCCGTCGTGCAGGCGGCTAGCAAAGGCATACCCTCGCCCGCCGCCAACACCATCGTACCCGCCTCGTCCGCCACTGCTGTACCCGCTACGGCTCCCAGACTCGTACCCGCCTCGGCCGCCTCCATCGTAACCTCCTGCCCGGCCACCACTTTCAAAACTCCAGCGCCCGCCACTGTCGTACCCGCCATCGCCGCCACCAGGCCCGTCGTACCCACCTCGGCCGCGGCTGTCATAGCCTCCGCGACCGCCGTCGAGCCCTCCTCGAGAGACACCGCCATACCCGCTTCGCACCGGAAGCACGTCGTACTCACCCCTGTTAGGCACGTCGTACTCACTGTTGTCGGGCACGTCGTATTCCTCCCTGTCCAGACCGTCGTGCCTGCCTCGCCCCTCACTGGGGACCGAGTCATAGCCCCCGCCACCGCCGCCGCCACCACCACCGGCGTTGCGGCCCGTGCTAGCCTCATAAGGCCCTCTTCCGCCGGGAGCATCACGGCCACTCCTGCCGCCGTCGTCCGCCAAGTGCCCCCCCCGGCGATCGTGTTGTCCGCCAGACCCTGCCCCGCCGGAACGGGACCCCGTTGCCGCTCCTGCCCACTGAGCCGCTGATGGCGGAGGCGCCGCCGCTGCCGCCGCGCCCCGCCGACCGCCGCCACCGCGGCCCTCTGTCACTGGAGGACGGTCCAACTGGTGTTGCTGCTGCGCAACTGCCGATGACAGAGCCCTCTGCGACGCCGCCACCGCCGCCGCGCGGTCTGATCGTTCCAAAGCCGCCGCGGAAGCGGCGGCAGCAGCAGCAGCAGCTGCGAAATGGCGGTCGACTGTATGCGGCTCGTGCTTTGTCTGTATCGGCGCCGCTCCCGCTGCGCCGCCACCGCCGGTCTGGCCGCTGGGCTCAGAGGCAGTTGGGCTGTCGGGCTGCTCCACCGCCCCTGGAGCCGCTGCCGGCGGTGGCGGTGACGGCAGCGGGATACCGGCCGCCTCGCGCGCCTTTTCCAACCGTTCGGCTCGCAGCAGGTAGTGCTCGTACACGGACCTGGAGGGCTCCCGGGGTCAGGCCGGGCCGGTGTGTGTTTGTGGTGGGTGTGTTGGCAGCACTGCCGTGGAGAGAGAACGCATGCCGGTTTCAAGAAATTCTGGTAATCGCCAGGTGGTAACGGTCAGGCGGAACGCTGAATGATCGGTGGAACGCCAGCCGGCCTAAACGTCACCACAAGTGAATGGACGCGATGGTGGGTAGTGAAGCGGACCCCGGGAAACGACGGAGGTGCGTGTGAGTGTGTGTAGTCGCATCGGTTTTGTCTTAGGGTTTTGTCGGAGCCCATGAGTCGGAGCCCACCCGCGCCCACCCCCGTCCATACCTGCATGCATGTGCGGTGTTCACCACAGCCCTGTCGAGACCTATCTTCTCCGCCACCTGGTTCCAGCCGTTCGGATTGGAGGCCAGGGCTGCATAGCCGCCAAGCTCGCGAACCTGTTGCGGCAGTACGGCAGAGTACGACGCACGGCAGTGGTCAAACAAAAAGGGACATACACCAGTACGATGCGAAAATGGAGATCTAGCTCCCTCACCATGATCGTCTAGAGGACCCCTCCCCCTGTGTGTGTGCTTCTGTGCTTGTGTGTGTGTGTGTGTGTATATGTGAGTCCAACACCGCGTTATTGGACCCCACGGAGCAAAATGCGCTGCCTTGAAACGCATAGATTTTAGGCAATCTGTCGTAATCCTTCTGGAAAGAATCGTAGGATCTTCTGGAAAGCGCACACAGTCGCGCATGCCGGTTATGGATGGTCGGGTACTCGCCCCTCGGAGCTTTTCCTGGCTTCCCCCCAATCCTCTGCCTCCCCCCTCCTCCTCCTCCTACTGGCTTCTCTTTCCTGTTTCCTCGCGGCACCATGTGGGGCAGGCATTTACCTTGCCGTACATTTTCTGCAGGTCAAACGAGTGCGATCCGACGGTTACGGGACCGAATTTTGAGTCCGGCAGCAGCGGCCGCCCGGGTCCAGTCCCCGGGTTATCAATGCGGCCGGTCAGGAAGTCCAGAAGCTGCGAATGGAACTGCTCCCGAAGCTGAGCGCTGCTGGACTGTGCGTGCGGGGAGGGGGAATGACACGCAAAGCGGGAGGGAAGGAAGGGGAGAAGGGGGGAATAGAAACAAAAAGGAGGTGTTTAAACAAATTCGTCAGCGGAGAAAGTATTTTTGTGAAGTCACGTGTTGTGTGGACTTCAGAAGCACGGGGGCCCATGCGAATAAATGCCACGGAAATAAGGACAAAAGAAATGAAGGCCGAAGGGAGTTTTCCTTTTCAAGATTTCGAACAGAGACTTGCAGGAATGGCCGTGGCGGAAAGGTTTGGCACGGGTACACAGCCGGGACACAGAGAATGGAATCCCCCTCTAGACAAACCATACGCTCTCAAACCATACGGGGGGCCCCCAGACTCCCCTCCAGGCTCCCCTGTTGCCTTCGCCTGCTGAGCCTCACCTGGGCAGCTCCTCCGCGACCCCCGGCGTCCCCCGCTCCCTCCGCCCAACCGCCGCCAGTGCGTTGCCCCATGGTCAGCCAGGCAAACGCCTGACGCTGCCCCTCCCCCGCTGTGCCCGCTGTTCCAGCCAGCCATTCCCCCAGCGATTTGCCGGGCTGACCGTGCGAATCCACGACGCGTATGCTCTACAGCACGAAATGGCAGGCGCAACAGCAGCAACAGCAGCAGCTCCGTAATGATGCAGGATGAGCATCAGAAAGAAGCCGGGTAGGATGGTGACCAGATGATGTGCCGAGGCTGCAAGAGGTTTTCAGGATGTTGCACTAAAAACGATGTGTGATGTGAGAAGGCGGCCCTGAGAGCGCCGAGCTGCCGCAGATCCCACTCGCAGTCCACTCGCAGCACCTCAACATACGTTCCAATAGTATGCCACATACATACACACAGACATGACATAGGTACACACATACATACATACATGTATACATGTATACAAGTAAACAGGTTCCCATCCATCCATCCATCCATCCATGCAAACGTGCGGATTTCCTCCCAACCTGGAAAGGTGAGCTCCGCGTGAGTGCTGGTGAGACGGTGGTCACTCACCTGCTTCCACTTTTTGGTGGCCTGACGGCCGCCCAGGCGTTCGAATTCAGTGGGGGTGGCTTCCCGGATACCCCCCAGGTGGTACAGGTAGAGGATCTTGGTCTTGGCCACATCATAGGTGCCTCGTAGGGTGCCACAGATGACTTCTACAGTCGCTGGGATCTGGGCGGGTCCTGTCAGAGGTTCCATGCGAATGGATGGCTACCTACGAGGGGGGTTCAAGGAGGGATTACGGAGCAGGGGCAGGGGGAGGTTGGCTTAGGGTGAGCTGGAGGAAGGGATGGGTTCAGGAGAGTCGTGCGAGAGCGGGCGCAGGGGGACGGGCCGCGGACCGTGCGCGAGACCGAGCTGCGGCGCCCGGGTTGTAGTGCACAGCCTGGAAGGAGCGTGAGACTGGGACTGCAGGCAGAAATGTTGCATACTCATGGCAGGTTGGGGGCGAGGCTGCACTACAGGCGCGCGTTCTGACAGAAGACGGGAGACGACCGGAAGTCGACACGCCCCGCTTATTCGCGGGCGCAGGCTTCACCAGCATAGCTTTCAGGATGGCTTTCTTGAAGGCTGTCTGGACGCTCAGCGCATGCGATGCGAGGCTTTGCAGCCTGGCCTGGCGCGAATCCTACGACCTTTGACCGCGTTCGTCGGGCTCACAGCTATCGCGTTTCGCGCCCGAGTGCATCGTGAACCTAAGAGAGGAAATAGATGCTACGCATGTCCCCTTCGGCTTGCGCCAGTCGCAGAGCGCCGTGCGCCGCAAACCGTTGCGTTGTTCCCTGCAACTGGAGCACCTCTGCTTACCCTGGCTGGTACTCCAGCTCCAACGGTATAGCTATAATCCTTACATATGCATTCAGGGCTTGGAAAACGCCGCAGCTGTTGAACGTGGCAAAGCCTCAAGTTTCAATCGATGCTGCAACAATTTGCCCGACGGCACAGAAGAAGGCATTCATCCAGTCGTCCTACATGCATAACGTTTCTTTTCCGAAAAAGCAAGAGCTAGGCCTCTACACAAGGACGCAATAGAAGTTGTCCGTATTTGCCGGGAATCGAGGCACAAACGAAGTTGCAGCTAGAGAGCTTCTTTGATAAATACAATCGATAACACAATATTCCCTTCTATTATCAACCCGTTTCTGCAGCGTTGGCTTCGAATCCTAAAGCCTGCCGCGCAACGGCGGATAACCACAGGATATGACTTCAGGTCACTTCGTTGCAGCGAATCACTGCAAGGAGCTATATGTAGCGCCATACGCTCTGCACTCTCGCGCGACGCGGCATCGGTGCCTCGTACGATGCGTGCGACAAAAACCCCGAAGGCATAGTGACGCTGCATGAATAAAGTGATTCAAAACACTTCATTTTTTCATAGCACAATCCATGAAAAGAGTTCACAATAATACGTTTCTGTGGAGGTCCTGCAACTGTGTTTCAGCGAACTGTACAACCACTCTTACAGGCACGTACATCCACTCCATTCGGCACGAACAACCAGCACGGTACAGGTTTGTTAGGTTTAAGAAAAATGCAATTTGGTTTAGATGTCTTACATGCTGGGCGCGTGCCTACAGCAGCTGACTTACAGGCAGTCATGCTTGAGAGCAACATCAATAAATTCCATCTTCGCAATACCCTTTTCGGCCCTTCCAAACGTGATGATCTGTGGCCCTTACATACAGGGCAACAAGGGTTTCGTGGTGTATGGAAAGATTGGAAATGCTTGTGGGGAGGAGCAGCGCTGCGGTAGCTGAACGCAAGGGCTGTACAATAGTTGCACGAGAGCCCAATGCGGATTACTTGAGTCCACTGATGTACCTTGCGCACAAGCAACCATGGCAACGTAGGCCACAATTAATCTTACATTAATTGTCGGCATAGACTACACCGACAGAAGGCAAGCATGGAGCTGGCTTTTGCTAGGAGAGAGTTATCTTTCACATTTGGATCTTATCTGATTCAACAAAACGGTGGAAAGAACAGGGAACCTACTGCCTGCTGCTGTGCCACTGCGGACGAGCAAGTGGGCCATGGACGAGCAAGGACGAAACAAAATATTAAACAAATATAAAAGATCCTTTCTAATTGCTCGTCACCAGGCAAAAATCCTACTTTCCTAACGGCATTAAGAAAACCCCGTCCTGAGAAGGCCCGAATGTACAGGGTGCTTCCACTCTGCCGAACACTAACATAAAGTTCCAGAAATCTTGCTCCTGGAACAACGAATCACCCGTCAGGTATTAGTCGAACACAGTAAAGATTATCTAACATTTCGCGTAAAGGGGCCCGTACGCGAAAAGCCGAAGGGCCCAGTGGAAACGTCTCGTACACTAAGCCCACATAAGTGGCACAATAGTTATTAAGGCCTCAGTCCTGGACATTAGCTTCAAAGCGGGAAAATTCTTAGTCAGCCATTTTTCTTCCTCTTCGTTGACTTCTGTTGTCCATAGCCGCAAATGTCTCGTTGACCAGTGTAATTCCGAGCAGGACCGGCAAAGAATCCAAATTGCCCATATTTCAACAATGAGTCGACCATTCAGGACAGTGCAGCAGGCATTCACTGCAAATGTTTGCCTTGTTATACATCTGCTTTGATGATCGTCGAGCGAGGCCATGGGCCGCCTTGTGCTTGTCCAGGAATGCAAGCTGGTCCTGTTAGGACATGTGGTGGCCGTGATGGCTGCTGTGGATGCGGCTCTTCTGCACACACAACTGGACCCACAAGGCTACCATGCCGACATTCTCATCGTTTGAGAAGTTCTGAAGGACATGAGCGGAGGTGGGGGACAGGGGGCGGGTGATGATGGTCGGAAACAGGAAGCATTCAATCACATAAAGGTGAAAATGCATGGAGTCCGCACCTCTGAGCGACTGCGGCCACGCTTGCCAGTGAGCTTCTCGGGGGTATGAGAATCTAAGGTGGGCTCATCCCCAACGCTAGATGACTGCGACCCGCCCTCAGGGTCGTAGACTTTATCGCCGTCGTCATCAGCCGGCACCGAGCTGCACCTCGCAGCCTTCCGGCGGCGTCCAGCACCTTTGGCACGTAACTGGCCCTTGTCCGGGGCTGGGGCGGCTTGGGCCTTGGGCTGGGGCTGAGGTCCATGGCCGCCGAGGCGTCCGGCGGGACAGTGCCAATGGCGGTGGCGAAGATGGGACCGATACGCTGGCTGGGGAGATGATGAGGTGTCGTGTTCGTGGGGTCGTTACCAAACGCGCTCTCCTGATCACAGGCGGGACAGGAGGGTGCGAAAATAGGGTGAGAAGTCCGTGGTGATAAGAAACGAGCGAGGAATGGAAGTCAGGAATGGAAGTAATGCGTGTTCATCCCCGAAGGGGAACCCCAAAGTCTCCAGTTCATCCCCTTTAGGGGAACTAAAGGGGAAGAAGAGCACTAAAGGGGAACTAAACACTAAAGTTCTTCGTCCCCTTTAGTTCATCCCCTAAAGGGGAACATTCGCAAGGAAAAAGATATGGCTGTCTCACCTGGTGGTGCAATTATGCGCCAAGGTAGTTGTGAGACACCGTGGCCGTGGCATCCATGTCCAGCTGCGTTACCAGGACAAATCAGTGCTGTTCCTGAGATTGACCGGCAAGGAATAGGCCATGGTCAAATGCCAGCGGCAGCTGCTGTGCAGTTGCCAGTTCATGTCTGGAGACATTTGAAACCGGAAGCCTCGCACATTTGCAGTGAGTGCCTACTGCACTGTGCTGAATGATCGACTCATTGTTGGAATATGAGTAATTTCGATTATTTGCCGGTCCTGCTCGGAATTCCACTGGTCAACGGGCCATTTGCGACTATGGATAAAGGAAACTACGGAAGTAACCGAAAGACATTAAGGAAATAAAATGGCAGAGTAAATATTTTCGCTTTGAAGTTAATATGACCAGTTTGAAAGTGTCAACAGGTCTGAGGCCTACTGTACGGCCCATCGGCTTTTCGCGTACGGGACCCTTTATGCGAAGATTTTAAAGGATTTATTTCTGTTGTGATTCGCTGTGCCAGGAGCGAGATTTTTTGCTCTTAGTGTTCGGCAGAGTGGAAACACCCTGTACGTTTCCTCAGCATGGGCATCGCTGCAATAACTTTGCGGGTTTTGAAGTGCAGCAGTCTGGAATGGACCGCAAAGCGAAAACCTGCTATGTATAGAATCATCTTTAGGCAGCTGAGGTCCAAGTGGACGGATTCTGCTTCAAGTCATTGTCATAAAAAGGCACAAGCGGCAACCACTATCAAGAAAGTCCTGGCTCTCACTTTACCTTTTACAAAAGCACATACACCAATGATTGCCGTAGTCTTTCTGTTGGAAATTTGTGTTCCAATCGCGACACTGGACGTTTTCATTCAGCCAGTTATATATTGCTTATGTGTGCGTAAATTATGCTCAGATATGTGAGAGAAGTAATCGCGTTGTGGGCAAACCCATGTGGATGTACATAAGGTGTCGTGGTACAGCGGATGCGGGATCGCTTTCGCATGTGCCAAACCTGCACAGAGATCACGTTGCCATTTGTGCAGGTGATACCCACTACTGCGTGATGCTGCCGCTATGCACGGTCAAAGTAACGTCATTAAAGTCTTTCAACGATAGGGTGAGGAAAGCAACTAGCTCCCAATCCTGCCGTCCAAACCTAGTAATTATGTTGACTCTGCTGACACACTTTACAGGATTTTTCTTTGCGACCCACACGCGTGCATGGAAACAAAGCTGCCAAATTCACTACCCATCGCGCTCACCGCGTATCCTTGATCGACGACGTAAGGAACTTCGACTGGTACAAACTGAGACAGGTACGCCATTTTGACAAGCCCGCTTCATGCGCGCTGAGTCCGGGCCCTCACCTGCCAAGTGGCATTAGCAAGACATTTGGAATCCACGTCGATACAGACCTATCTCCCCCTCCTCCCGCAGCACATGCGCGTCGGGCCTAGGGCGATGTAAGGAACAGGAGGGTTAGGCGAAAGACCCCTCAAACTTAGGACTGCATCCCAGGGTTGCGGCCCAACTTCATCCCCTCCCCTCAGCCGGGACGTGAACCGCCCCGCTTAGCACTACGCTGGCTGCTATCCCTAACCCGACTCCGCCCGCGTTGTAGATCGCGGCGCTACTTTCAGCTGCCTTTTACGAGGACGAGGAGCTCGGGATCCCTGGTGCGGCAACCCGTCCTTCTGCCGCCGCCGCCAACGCCACCGTCACAGCCTGTCGTGGTGGTGATGATGGCGGTGATGGAAATGGTGTAGATGACAGGCTTTGCGTTCATGGTGGCAATGGCGGAGGGCGATCTACCACCAGCCTCTTTACGGCGGAGGTCCTCTTCGGTTGGGCGTCGTTGTTTGCCGTACTATTGCAGCACGTGATGTACGGCAAAAGACACTTGACGGTGCTGGCTAGCATTGATGAGGAGGTATAGCAACTTGGGAGAGAGTGAATGAGGAGAGGAGGGGAAGGAAGTGGGGCGAGGATTGGGCAGACAACGGTTGCATGGAAATGTGTGTGTTTTTCTGCACCCCTCTTAAGACTGTCGATCCCCCTTAACAACACGTCCCATCCCTTCCCTCATCAACTTTATAACCTTTGATCTCACCCTTTGCCATTAGTAACCACCAACCGCCAATCTTATTCAACCACCACGACCCCCAACTCAGGTCGTTGGCTGCTGTGGCCTGACCTTGGAGACAGCGCCTGCTGATGTGGTTGCCGCCACCGGTGCCACCCAAGGGTCGCAGTACGGCCTCTTAACGGGACTGGCAGTTGCGCCCGCCTACCGCCGCCGTGGCGTGGCTTCAGAGCTGCTGGCGGCGGCCGCTGCGGCCGCCACAGCAAGGCTTCCCGCGCCGGCTCTGCTGACGCTGCTGGTGGCACGAACCAACAAACCCGCATTGAGGTGTGTCGGTCAGTACGCCTGCAGGGTCCAGGTGTAACGGTCTGGTTTGTTAAGGGCGTTAAAGGCGCAAGAAGGGGGAAAAGTAGGAGAGGGGCAACGGCGACAGGCAGGAGCGCACCCAGCACGTAGGGTGCAAGCCAGGGAGGGTAGGGTGGCGGATGATGGGAGGTAAGGATGGCAAAATTGCGGAGCTGGCGAGCCGTACGTTTTTCCATGGTTGGCTGTTAAATTGGCTGTTGGATCTGGTTGGTTGGTGGTTGGTTGGTGGCTGTAAGAGTGGCAGGCTTGCAGCACGGTTTTTGTGTTGGGGTCCTGTTGCTGCTCGCAGGCTATACGAGCGACAGGGATACCAGGAGGCCGCGAGTTGGGTGGACGCCCGCTGGCAGGCGGAGGCGGAGCGGGGAAGGGTGGGCAAGCCGCGGCGGCTGCTGCTGGTGAAGCGGCTGCAGGCGTGAGCAGGAGTTGCAGTCGAGCTGGTCCTGGGGCCCATCCTAGGCCATATAGAGTCGATATTCGCGGTGTAAACCCAACATATCTACCATTTACAAGACAAAAATGGGCCAGCCCCGAAACCGGAAATACTCCTTTTGCCGATGTCTGTCAACGACGGATAAGGTTGCCGGTCGGTAAGACGCTCTGGGACCATCCAACTCTCAGGCTTGGCAAAATCGCGTTCTCCTGTCGCGGTCCTGTAAAGAATTGGACGGGCACGACAGAAATGGACCCGTTCCCGAAACCTGAAATACCTTTTTGCCGATGTCTGGTTAGAAGCCGCCGTGATTGACGGTTATCGGTTAGGAAGAAGTTGGGGTCAGGGACTCAAGAGTCCCACTCCTCTTTCATGGACGGGTTACCCGTCGTATGGGATTGGCGTATAGGATAAGTTGTGAATTAATGAAAAGTTGTTCTTTTCGGATAGATCCAAAGCATAAAACTAGTTTGCAGCATTAGTTTCATAGCAACCAGGCGCGTTTTACACAGACTGCCATTCAATATTCGACTCTTTGTCGCCCTAAGCAGAATTGCACTCCGCCTCCTAGCAAAATGCAATTGAAGCCGCCACCTCAAACTTTCGCTCGGGTCTCACGAGCAATCCGAGGGCCACGACCTTTTATTGCAATAGGGCCCCAAAAATGTGAGCGGCAGATGTGTCAAGCTCGGCTTCAGGCGAAGGAGGAGCAGGTACATCTGAATGGCAAGCTCGCGCATGGAATGTGTGTTGATGCTGCAATTGTTAGCTGCGTTGTTCACGAATAATCGAAAGACTATCTGTCATGTATATAACCATCGTTAATATGCTTTGTTGTTTGCTTACCGTGGTGATGTTTTCAACTTTGCTTCTGGAGAGCGAGGAAGAAAGGATTGCCACGGCTCGTGCGGAGGTGACGAAGCGCATTAAAGCCCTCGGCGCTGCGGGCCGTGTACGCGATGCCATCAGCGCCCTTGCAGGGCTTGCAAACCTGGGGATACAGCCCGACACCCCCGCCGCGACGGCGTTGGTTCAGGCGTGCTCGCGGGACATGGACATAGCCCAAAGCATCTTCGATGAGATGTTCGGTACGTTGCTTGCAGAGTGCGCCACTATGAAATTATAGCTACCCACTAGCAAATCACATAGCATAGCAACAGCATAGCATCGCATGGCACAGTACAGCACAGCACACGCGCTATCCAAGCGCTTGTACGACGGTTTCGGAGGGGACATCCGCCTTGCCTTGCCTTCCCTTCTATAGACGTAGCGTAACCAAAACCATCAACGATAAATTCTTCATAGGCTTGGATACTTCTGGGAGAAAGAGCCTCTGCCGAAACCCTGCGAAGGAAGGAGTGCTCCTCCGAAACCAACCACAATCATTACTGCTATCACCCCAAGGCATCAACCTTCATCAAGCTAGCTATTAAGCTTTACGCCGCTTTGGGGGCCCCCTGGCCCACCTCATCTCTAATCGCCAGGGGAGTTTCTGACACCCGACGAGGTGTCCTTTGCCGTACTTCTAAGAGGTTACGGAGCACTCAACCCGCCCGACTGGCCGCGAATCGATGCCACGTTGACCACAATGCGCATGAAGTACGGCATCGAGCCAACAGCAGGTGCGTCCACCATTCGGTTGGGTTGGTTTGTGGTTGTTGTGGCGGTTGGTTGTACATGATAGTAAGTAACCAGCTTACAGCAGGTTCGCCAACCCTCGTTGGGGCCGCGACCTGCCGCGACATTCAACTTAGGGTTTTGTGCTTCCGTGTTAAGAGCTACCGTCGACATCCTAGAGCTACGCTACTTCCAAGGCTTCACTGCTGGACTTCACCTGGTTCTGGCACTCCATAAAGCGAAATATTCAGATTTGTTATAATAGCAATAATAGCAATAATCCAGGAAATGTATTTACAGAAAGTTAAAGCACACTTTTAAAAAAACTTAAGTCGCTGTGTTTTTCTGACATCTCCTCTGACGTCTGCCCCTTTTGGCCGCTGCAGTATCCTTCAACGCGCTGCTGGAGATCTGCTGCCGTACATCCGACGTTGACCGAGGCCAGGACATCATTGACCGCATGGCAGCGGACGGCGTTGAGCCCGACGAGTTCACGGAAGAGGTGGTCGCGCGGCGCCGTGTACTGCGATCCTATCTGCGGAAAACGCTGTTATAAAAGCCGCGTGCTTTTTTCCGCGTGTGGTGTGTGGGTTTGTGTGTACAGCAACACGTCCATGCTGTACGGGTCATCGTATACACCGGTACGGGTCAATAAAGTACGATGATGGTCGTGAGTGAGCCACGTGGACGGAACCAGAGGACGACCAAGGGAAGTGGGTCAGTGCGGGAGGCGAGTACGGCAGGCGAGTACGGGAAGCGCATACAAGGCCCCCAGCACTTGGAGGGATATCGGCACCCGCATCCAGATGTCGGTGCACCTGGAGCGACAAGTCGCTGTGCGTTGTCGTTTTCAAAACCCCCTTTACTGAATTCGTACCGTTGTGATCCGTACACGTGATCCATTGGTACTGCTGGTCTCGGAGATTATTATGGACCTGTTCATATTCAAATTTCTTGATTGCATTTGCCTGGACTGATCTTTCGGGGTGCATAGCAGCGTCGTGAGGTCGCGAGGGCGTGTAGGGGGCCCTATGTGGCTAAGGGGGTGTTGTTTCTCTTCTTCCACAGGTGCTAAGTTCCCCACCCCGAGGTCAAGGATCATGCTGGGGGGCCGGGCGGGCGGGCTGAAGTAGATCTAGGTGCTCGGGGGGGGGGGAGGTAGAAGATCCTCCGGTGGCTTCGCGGTTGGAGACGGTCCCGTGTGTAGATTTGATAGCGGTGATGATGATGATGATGATGATGATGAGGAGGAGGAGGAGGAGGAGGAAAAAGGGGAGGCGGATGGTGGGTGTATGGAGGAATGGTTTGAGTTGGTGTGGGGGCCCATTTGGGAGCCAAGTGCCCCTTAGGGGCGGCCATCACACGCCTACCTCGTGCTTACACTGTAGAATGTTTCTCTCTCTATAGCTGCCGGTCTGGTTGGTTTCAGTGTGTCCAAAGCCCTAAAACCCCACCCCGCCCCGCCCCACCCCACCCCAACACATGTCCAGGGTCCAGGAGGACTTTTGTGCGCTTGTGGTAATAGGTCCAGGCGTAATAAAACATCCTCAAGAAGAAATGAAACAATAAAAATTATAAATTCGCCTTCATTCAGTGATTGTGATTGGAGTGGGGGTCATCGATAGGATTTTCAACAGGACGCCTCCTTGACCACATCGCAGCTGAGCTGAATGTCGATACACACACACCGGTTAGTTGACGCCCCTAAGCTGGTTCACAGCGGTGAAAGGTCTGCGTGCAGCAGCCAGCCGCGCAGGTCCAGAAGAGGGAGAGCAGCGCCGGGTGCTTCACCGGGCACCCCGCTGCGATCTGGACACCTCCCGCGGTCGTCGTAACGGAAAGGGGAGTCTCTCTCCAAGGCTCTTTGAGCTCGGCTCGGTTTTGGCTATGGCAAGGAGCTCTACTGAATGACCCGTGGGTCGGTCTGAGTCGATGAGGGAAGGTTTCCACATATGGCGGCTCTGTTTTGGAGCTCTGTCATTTTTTTGGAGCCCGCGACAAGTTCTCGATGGCGATGCCGTTGGCCGCATTGGTGCCCCTCGGCGTCCTCACGCTTTCCTTATAACATCCAGCATCGGAAAAAGGTTTTTGCACCGAGAAAACAGTCGGAACGTTTTCCTCTTGTTGGCTGCCCACAGGGCTGAGACTGCATGAGGTCGGCTGAGGGGCTGCGAAAATGACGTCACACGTGTCAAGCCGGTACTGCCCATAGGAAGCGTGTTACTGCAGGTATTACATCTAACCGCGGTGGACTTCCAACACTTCCTACAGCAAGCTGGGCTATATCTACTTTATATTAAACCTTACTCTATGTGCTTCATCTTCAAGCAATCTCCAGCGATCTGCTGCATCTCGTAGAAGCCTAAGCCTGGGAGGGTTTTGCGCAACTTCCGGAACGCGAAAAACAAGTCGTCCGACCTTTAAAACTGGTTATCGCGCTTAAAGTAGCAGTAAGCCTTTTGCTTATCTAGCAAAGGAAGTTTGAATTCGTCTCAACCCATGAGAATTGCTGCCAGCGCCAGAGCAGCAACTCCGCGACACCGTTTCCTGTCGACCTACCTCCAAAGCCTTCTTCCCCTGCGGCTGAAGTCCGTTACCTGCTTTTTCTTCTTCTTGTGCTTCTTTTACGGATCAATCTCAACCAGCTTTTCTGCCGTCATCACCGCACCGTTGATTCGCCTTACCTCAGCGGTTTCATTGCCTCAGCAGCTGGTGCTTCTCCTCCTGCAGCTGCCCTTCGGAAGCAGCTTCGCAAGCAACACCATCGCGGCAGCAGACACACTCAAACCCAACGTGCGTAGCGGCGCTGCCAACATCCCCACCACCACAACCGCCACGGCCGCGCTCAACAAAACTGCTGGTAACAACATAACCCACACCGGCATCGACACCGGCTTACCGTTGCTGGCCTCCGTTGCAGCCTGCCACGTGCGCGGCATCGTGGCCCGCGCCATCACCATCGCCATCACCATCGCCACCAGCACGACAGCAGCGGCGGCAGAAGGGCTTCAACACCAACTAAGCCGCATCTTCTCCTCCCTCTTTTCCTTTCCTTTCCCTTCCTCTGTCAACCTCCCCAGCCTCTTCCCCCTCCTGTGCCCCCCTGCGATGGCGACCACGACCCTCTTGGTGGTGTTCGCGACGGGCGTCCTGACGGGCCGGGTACTTGAGAAAAGAGAGGCGAGGCGGACGCGCGGCGGCGGTGGCCGTACTGCCGACGCGGCATCTCAGCACCTGCGAACTCGGGAGCTGGAGCCTACACATGATGATGGGAAGGCGCTAAAGCAACAACAGCAGAAAAGGGAGGAGGGAGAGGCGCAGCAACAGCAGCCGCAGCAGCAGCTGCAGCAGGAGGAGGAGGGAGTGGCGGAGGAGCAGGGGGTGCAGGGGAGGCGACGACGTGGTGTGTTGAGCTTCCTTTTCGGTGGCGGTGACGTCAAGCAGTCGTTGGAGTCCTGCGTGGCGAGCGACGCTATGTCGTACACGAGTACAACGCATGAAGTGAAAGAGGTTGCCGTGCGGCACGGAGTCAATGGGAGCAACGGCGGCGCTGCCGCCATCATGGGCCCCGCAACACCGCCGCCGCGTGACGCCAGCTCTGCGTCAGTGACCTTGGATGCTGCCGCCGCCGCCGCTGCCGCCGCCGCCGCCGCCATCGAGGCCGCCGCCGCCATTAGTCATCCGACTCACCTGTGGTACATCACGTTGCACGATCTGGATTATTTTCGTCTACGGGCCGAGCAGGACGTTGCCGTACACGGTGCGGGGCCTTGGACCCACATGATGGACCGGGAAGTGCCGCGAAGTTACCGCTACACCGCGTGGCGTCGTACATTACCCAACGGCCTAACCGAATACCGGTCCGTAACGATAATACCGGACTGTAGCCCGCTCGAGTACGTGGACTTCTCCTTCGACGACAACGCCAGGTGCGGATGCGTTGGAAAGAAGGAACACTGGCTTTGATGCATGTCGTACATGTAATCGTTGCAACCGTTAGATGTAACCGAATTTCGGCCTTGTAACCCAAAAATGTGTTTTATCCGTTGTATCTCTTCTTTAATATTTTACTATATGATCTTCAGGGACTAATGTTGCGTCCTAGGGTTTGGAAAGTCGGCAGTGGGAGAAGAGATGACGGTTGTGCCCGTTTGCAAATCTCACATCGCAGATTACGGGGCCCCGTCACCCTTATCACCACCACGGCCATTCCGCTGCGGATGATGATTGAGAAGTTGCTCGGAAATTATTCCTGTAGCTTTTCTCATCCTCCTCCCTCCCCACCATCTCCCCCTCCCACCTCTGCCTGCCTCCTTGCGTGCCCCCCTGCCCTTACCCCCCTTCCCCACAACCTCCGCCCTTCACTCCCTCCTCACCCAACCTCTCTCCATTTTGCTGCTCGCCCTCTCCCTCTCCCTTCCCATTTCACTTTTGCTTCTTTTGATGATATCTAATTTCTTATTCCTATTTCCAAATGATTAATGTTTTCAACTTGTGCCTATGTTCATCTTAGCTTCCCCGCCCTTTCCCCGCTTTCATGCAGATGCCGGTGGGAGGGTTTCATGGTCAGTGCGGAGGTTATGGAGGCGGGCAACCAGCGACTCAGGCAGCAGGTGCGCGACTGCGGGGTCGCGGGTGGGTGTTGGTGTTGGTGTATGTATGTTTGTAGGAATGTACGGGGGCCCCGTTCGTTCGCGTGTTGCACGGAGAGGGCAGGGAAGGGCGGTAAGAAGGACAGGGGGTGCATGAGGCGTCCGGAATCCGCATGGCTCCATTGAGCTTGTTCGTCTTATCTGTAGGTTTGTACGTATGTATGAGTCATGTCACCGCGTGCAGGAACGCTCAGCCAATGAGCATGCTCATGCCGTACACCTCGTCCGTACTGTGTTTTTGCTCCCAACCGCTCCAACCCACATCCGTGCTGTGTTTGTGCCTGTGCCCTTTATCCCTTCTTTCCCGCCACCGTTTCTGAACAACCGAAATCCCAATGGCAGGTGGTTAGGTGGATCAGGTCGTTTCCTTTTGGATTCATAACCGACCGGCAGTACATCATTGCACGTGCGCTCATGAGCATCACCCCCGACGGTGCCGTACACGCCGGCCTGCCGCCGGCTCGCCACTTGACGTCCCGCCACGCCGGCGGTGACGCTGACGTCATGCCTGTTGCCGACTTGTACTGCATCACCAAGAGCATCGACCACCCTGGAGAGTACGACGGAACCACCGGCAAGGTCGTACAGATCTCGGATTACTATAGCATGTGGCGCTGCAGGTGAGAGTTTCGTCCTATGCCGTACATCGCCACCCAACTAATAATCCTAATATTGTACGTCGTGAAGGTTTAATTTATTATCAGTCCTGTCGTACACCACATAAGCTGCCGTACGTACATGGCGACAGGACGGTCACATGCCCCTGGGGCGGAGAACGCCCCGCCCTGGAGGTGGTGTTGCTGCACTCGGAAAACATGAAGATTCCGGAGAGGCTGGCCAGGTGGGTACTGTTATTGTACGGCAAGACGAATGTACGGATTTCAGTTGTCCGTTGTTACGGAACCTCGTCGGATTACATACATACCTCCATGGTCAACAGGATCAACAGGATTGATTGCCTACCGGCGGGGCTTTTCGGGTTGTGGTTTTTTATATATGATGTGTGAAACAGGGGGGTATATCTTCGCCCGCGGCAGCTACCCTGCAAAACCCTGCCTTCCCCGGTATCTCGGGGCACCCTCATCCAGTCACCCTAGTCAACTTCTCAGTGGATCGCTCAGGTTCCGCACCCACCACCAGCATCCAACGGAATCTGCCGGGTTGAAAGCGGCCCAACTCCATTCCTAGACGGCTCGCAGATTAATTTTATCCCAGGTCACCACCGTCCATCAACTAGGGTCGCAATGATTTTTGACCCTAATGGGTATCCATCCCGGGATCTCCCAGGGACAACGCCTTATCAGTAGTGCCAAACCCAGTATATATGTTGTAAATGCAGGTGATGTGTGCAAAATTCTAATTGCATATTATTCTTATTAGGGTGGCGATTTGCGTGCAATTGTGTGTGTGGGTTCACCGTTCCACGTCGGGGCATAGAAATGTACTTAGTGGTGAAAACCTGTTTGGGCAAATCCCGTTCACGTAAAGTGCTAAGCTCATAACATTTGCTGCTGCTAAGGAAAGAGCTCCGTAGGGCCCTTGGTCGTAGGGCCCATAAAGTCGTCACCACCGTATCCTTGTTGTCATCGTGGGTTGGTTTTCTTGCAGAATGGCCATCAGCCTTGGCATGAGCAAGTTCGTACACACCATGGCCGCCGCCGTACCGAGCTTCGTACGGGAGCGTCGCACCCGCTGTACACCCATGCAGCCCGATCCGCTGGCATATGGCCACCACCACCACGTGTACGGCCCCGCGGCACGGGGCGCCGCTGCGGCGTCGGCTGCAGCCGCGACGGCGGCCGCCGCGATGCCGCTATTGCTGAACAGCACTGAGAGCGCTGAGCTTCCGCCGCCGCCGCCGCCGCCGCCGCCGCCAGGACCAGTGACGCTGTCGTCGTGCCGCGCTGCACAGCCGCCATCGCCGGCATCCGCCGGCACCGGCGCTGAGGCGGCTGCCGCCTGTACGGCTGTGCTGCCGTCCACGCCGGCAATCGTACGGACCCTATGGCAGCCGGTCGTTGGGGCATCTGGGTCAGCAGCAACCCCCCCAGGACGTCACGTCACGGCGGGCGGCGGGCTGCCGTACGAGGTCGCCAGTGGCGGCGGCGCGGCGCCGGCCTCACGGTTCAGCCTGACGGATGTGACGCTGGGCCGTGGCGGTGACGGCGCAGGGCAGTACGGCATCGGCCGCGTAAGTACGGAGACGGCAATCGGCGGGGCGGCCGCCACGGAGGCCAGGAGCTTGGATGCGGCCGCCAGTGGCGGCGTTGCGCCCGACTCTTGGATTGGTCTGGCACGCGCTATGACGACTTCGGGGCTCTGGCACCGTCAGGATCTCCCCCCGGTGGTGAGTTTCGAATCGTGAATGGTGCCCTAGGACGTACCCTAGGTCGCCTGGCGCGGTGCCCGTGCTCCTTACCTAGCTAACAACTGAAGTTGCAGAGAGGTGAGGAAGTATTATTATATAAGGTACAAGACAGTAGGGGTAACGGCACGGCACTCCCACCCTGCTAATATGACGCTACGGCCTCCCCTGTCCAAGGTGCACGGGCAACGGGTTGGCAGACGCCATAGGCTATGCTCTATTAGTTTAGTACGGTATTGTACAGCGTGAGGTGTTGATGTACTGCTTTTCAGCGCAATTTTCGTGACAAACCCTAAGACCCCGCACGCATTGACATGTGGTTGCTTTCCTCCATTGCCGTTGCCCTCGTCCCGCCACCACCGCCGTGCGGACGCCGCCACCCTGCACGCATGTATACCTGCCGTACAGGCGCTATCTTCAGCCTGGGGAGCCAGCCGGGGGGGCAGTAATAGCGGCCGCGGCGGCGGCGGCGGCGCGGGTCGCTGGGTTCGTCGTACTGCTCTCATAGCAGTGGCGCTGCTGGCGCTTCGACGTTGGCGGCACGGCGGCCCGAAGGCGCGGCGTGGCGGCGGTGGCGGCGGCGGCGGCGGCTTCACACCCTGCGCTGCAGATGACGACAACGGCGCTGACGACGTCAACCACCACCTAAAACGCGACCGTGTCGCGGCGTCCTCTCCCGTCGCTGCCGCGGCCGGCAGCAGTTTACGACAGTTTGATGGTGACGTAGACTGCTGGGACGGCACAGACGGCGAGGATGGCCGTGCCCATATCCACTTGCTGCAGGAGCCGTGGGATCAGCAGCGCCCTCGGAATGAGGATGGCACACCGCCCTAGTGCCCTAACTGCATTTCCCCCGGTCCCGACCAAACAATGTGACATGCAGCCGCATCACCGCTTGGGCACTGCAGCACTGGAGGGGGGCCATTTCTCCACCTTGAAATCGCTGTCGCCCAAAACTCCCCTCCCTCCCTCCCTCCTTCCCTCCCCCAAATCCAAATCCAAATCCAAATCGCGCGACATTTCCCCCCACTGCACTCCCCGCTACACTATGGCACCCCCGATGCCGTACTCTTGGTGGTCAGAGTGGTAGGTTATCACTGAGAGAGCGAGAGTGCAGAACGTGGTGAGAGCGTTGCGGTGTCCACCGTAGTCAAAAACAGAAATAGCCATTGCCTGATTAGGCTCCAATAAGTTAGGCTCCACTGTGTAGAGCGGAGGAAGACTGGACCACATCGGGCGTGAGGGGCCATGAAATGGGCTGCGGCGACGGTGGCGGGTCCAATCCAAAAAGGGAGGTGGGGGTAAGGTGGGGGGAAAGTCGTTTCAGCCGTCAGTGTCGGGGCTAAAATGAAGAGAGCGGAAAGAGCGGCAGTGAGGAAGGGCGGTGTGTTTGGAGAATCTCATGGTGCAATGGGTAGGGGGTGGGTGTAGGAAAAGAGGAGAGGTAGGCTTAGGGGTTATTGTTGCGAGAGGATGGGCTTTTTGCCCGGTGCAATTCATCACAGTGGGTGCCAGCAGTTATGTAAGGGTAGTAGTTGCAAGAGCTTTTGCAGAGGTGGGTATGAGATGCGCAGAGAGGTAGACGTGTGCACGCAGCTGCGCCTAGCCTATCCAGCATGTGAGACGGGTCGTTAGGCCCGTCAGGCGACATGTATGGGTGTGCGGGGGGTGGGGCGGGCGGCAGGCGGGCAAGCGAGCTTGAGTTCCTCCTCTTGCATTCGTCGTTGCGACTTGTTGTTAAGATTTTGTGTTGCTGGGTTTGCTAGCCGACACTGTTTGCAACACCCGGTGTCTTTGGCTTTTTCGTGTACAGGAGTACCTAAGCTAGCTACGTGCTGGAGAACCTGTGTGATAATAAAGCTTTCCGTGTGCTGGTGGTTGTTTGGTTGTTATGGCCGCTGAGGTTCGCATCTGTGCTTTTATTTCTCTCCCTCTCCCACAACCTCGCTTGTTAACCCCCCACACACAGTGAAACACACCGTTTTATGGCGTGCAAAAGAGTGCAAACACAATATAAAAACGTTTTCTGAATGGAAGTTTTCTCAAGTGCTACCACACCAACGGAAGTTCTGCTTTCGTGACCCAATACCTGGATCCGAATCTCCCCACTAAGGGAAGTTAGGTGACGGTGGGTCAAGGGGCTCCACTCACATCACTGCGGGTGCTAATAAAGAACGTTGACCAGTTTCAGGCTTTCTGGAACATGTGGGCGTGTTCCTACATGTGCATCATGTGCGTATGTATGTGTATGTGTATGCATGTTTCAATTTAACTGAGCCGTGAGATGTACAGATTCGAAGAAGTCTGTGCGTCCGTGTGTTTTTTAAATCATGTGGGCCATGATGACGAGAATATCGATGGAGGTACACAAATAAGTTTAGTGAAGCGAGCTCCGTAGTCCAGTAACATGTTAGGCTTTTGGACTGAAACTGTGGACGGCGGGGAAGTACGGTAATATTAGGGAAAAACGACACCAAGCCCAAGAACCAAATGTGAGCAGCCAAGCCAAACAAGTCGGGTGTCGGCTTCCTCGAAGCCAGAAAAAAAAAGCCTGCATCCGTACAGGCCGGTAGCTAGCGTGGCACGTGTGACAATTGATAGGTAGTGTCAACGCGGTGGGAGATGTGCTTTGTTGCAGCAGTGCTGATGGTGTGGGAGCTAAGCTTGCACCGGCGGAATCGTCAGCACCGCCTGCGGGCTCCACGCGAATCGCATCCATCCCGTGTAGTAGCTGGTACACAGTACGGCTCTAGAAATACGCGCGTAGCGCGACCACCAGCATCTCGAGAGACCTTGTCAGGTTTTCTGGTTAGTTGTTAAGTCGTTAACTCGACTCAGCGGCCAGCTACTACATCCCGGGTGCATGCCACATGGTCAGTGCGGCAGACCGCAAGTCGGAATGCCCGTGCGGGCAAATGGTAACGCAAGCTGGGTGAAGTTCGGTTCTGTCTGTGATGTTTATCCCCGAAGCGCCAGCGGCCTCAGCAATCCGCCTCACAGCCGCGAGCTTCATGGCGGCACACCGCAAGTCTCCGGAGGCCCCGAGCATTGGCTAAAGTAAATGTACAAACGAGCAGCTTGCGTATTTCATTGAGAAATGAAAGCAAATTTGTCGGCCTGCTGGTGACAAGTCGGAGTGCCCGTGCGGGCAAATGGTAACACAAGCTGGGTGTTCAAGTTATCATACGCTGTCATCTCAAAATTCAATTATGGGATACACGGCACCTTTTGAGATTAAATTTAGCCCGAGAGGCGTTGATGTGACTTTGGCCTCGGTCAACTAAGGCAGCCAAAGTTGTTTGTGCTCATAGGATTTTTGTTGGCTACAGGCGAGATACCTTGCGATAGAGAATGCTATTATAGTACCTATAACGCGTTTCAGCCGGGCGAGATATTATGTTTAAGCAGCCCCTCGCACAAATGTGTCCGGTCGTACTTCGCGAATAAAAGGTCCGTACATCACGCCCCAAAAGCCAGGAGCGAATTTCACCGCGCGGATGGGCGCGTGCAATTCGCAAAATGCGCCTGTACAAGTGTATATAAATTTCTTGGCGGAAAAGACGAGGTGCGCCAGCGCGTTGCGCAGGTGGTCATGTTGGCCATAGTCGCACGCGGCATGCAGGCTGGACTATTGCGTGGCTGCTTTGCAGTAACTGAAAGCACCGAAAGCCTACGTCGTAGCTTGCAACACTGGGCTCGTGAAACTGCCGCGGAAGATGAAGCGCTGGCGAAGAGGCAGTTGTATGCAGCACCTTGTTCAGAGTAAAGTCAAATTACAAAGCTGCGCAAAGTATAACATACATAAACTTAATTAAACATAAGAACAGATAAGACGTTTAGAGCCTTGTCGGTGACATGGGCGCCGCTGTTGGCTTGGAACAGCTATTTGCTGTGCATAGGGACGTGCCCGCGTTAGCCGTGTTGCAACAGCTCAGGATGGATTTCAGCCAGCAACAGCCTCAAGAGCTGCTTCACAACCACCGGGAATGTCTTCAGTTGGGCACGTGTAGTTTTGGTCGGCGGGGTCGAGAAATGTATGCAATGCGCACAGAAACCAAGGTGCCAACATATCCGGTACGCGGTGGCAGGCTTGCCGAGCACGAAATGAAGGGGGGGTCGCATCTCACCATTCAATTAAGCATGCATGTGCTCGGTTGAATGCTCGGTAGCGTGCGAGTTTACCCCTATCAGGATGTTTGTTTGCATATCCCTCCAAGCGAGAGGGCTTGGACCTATGCTGATGTTCGTTCCAAGAAGTGAACTGAGGACTGATGCTACGGTGAAAGATTTGCACGTAAATTCACCCGTGCAATAAAACGCCCTGTAACTCGCATACGCTAATCTCACATTCCAATATGCCACTGCACTTTCCTCTCCAGCCTGGCCACATTCTCTTCCACGCAAACGTACTTGGGCACCTTACGTTCCAACACCATACATGCTTTGGAAACACGGGCAGCTGCTTCACAAGGACCCCCCTATTTGGTCGACTAGACATATTCACCATCGTACACCACACAGTGCCGTACCCTACACTGTTGCCGTACCCCATGTTCCTCACCTGTGATGCTTGGGTGAACCCAGACAGTTACAGGGCATGTGGTGAAGCTGCGGTTTAGCACTGTGCATCTTTCACTTGTGAGGAGGTGGTCAAGGCCGCAAAGTGGTTAAATAACAATAAGGCATGCGGTCCTGACAAAACTCAGGCGGAATGTTCAGAGAGCGCGATTCGCTTGGTGCAGGTGCAGGAGATAAGTTGGTTTCTCGTCACCCCATATACGGATGCTTTTCAAGCACCTCCGTTCCGCAAGGTTCCCAGTCAGTCCAATTTGAGGATCCTTGGGACTTCATTTCTGACACCTCAATTCTCCTCAACCGGGGTTGAAAATGGGGTTCTCACGCCACCTTGAGTTTACGTCCCTTCCCGACATCGTAGGAGCTTATAAGCTTTTCGTTTGTGCTGTTGGGTGATTTAGGTCAACAGTCTCATTGGTAGGGTGAGGGCGGATCGGGTTTCAAGATGAGTATCATGTCTTCATGGAGTGCCCTTTTTACGACGACATTTCGACAGGTCCTACGCCAAACGACACGTCGGCTATCTTGACGTTGGGTGACCAGTGTTTACTTGCCAAGGCGATGCGTCAAGTTCGCACAACGATGCACCTGCCTAGCCATATATTCAGTCACCAGTGCGATCATATTTCATAGACGATACTACATTCACAGATGCATATATGCATCATATACACTTTTGTTACCGAAAATTTGCGGTGTACAGGGCTTGTACGTGCCTCTTTGTGACGGTGTGTTCGTAGTGCTCATGCGAAAACATCCAAATGTGATGCCCGAGGTCTCGGCCCGAGGTGTCAGCCGTTCGTCTCGCCCGAGGTCTCGGCCCGAGGTCTCGGCCCGAAGTCTCGGCCGTCCTTTCAATGGAGCCTTATGCTGCAACTCAATAATAATTCCCATTACAAAATGTCATGCATAACATGTGTTGATTATCACAAATGTGTTCTGCTTCCCATCGAGTACTTTAGGTCAATTAGGTACGGCTTTTCCGCTTTTCAGGCACAGCAGACAATTTGTCCTTATAGTATCTACTTTGTATCTACTTTGTACTCTTGTAATCTGTGCTCCGGTTACACACCGGAGGTATTGCATCGTGAAGCTAATGGCGCAGCTTGACGAGGATATCAAGAATCTCCAGTTACAAATAAAGGCCACGGAGGATAAACAAAATACATGTGAAGACAAAAAGGAATTGGACTACTTACGCGAGAAGGAGCGCCAACTTCGCGAGAAGGAGCTCGTGCTTCTCAAGATGCAGTGTGACGAGAAGAAACGTGAGTCTTGCTTGCACATATTACGTGTGTGCGCCTGAAGTCTTCACCAGCACCTCAAGTACTGAATGATGGTCTGATTATCGCAACTAGGCTTTGGACTAATGTCTGCTTCCTTCATATATTTCCATAGTATAGGTAGTGGTTCAAGTTACAGCACCCATATATCCTAACCAAACCCAGGTTTGAATCAGGCATGGT